TTTACTGGTCCCAGCTTTCTGGAAGGTTTATTCAAGTTGGATAAACTTCAAAGAGATCACAGAGCAAGCTCAGAAATGCACCCAGAGTCTAGATGCTTATCCAAACTGCCTGAAGTCTTCCAACTGGCTGCCATCTCTCCAGAGCCGACATTTCCAGCACAGTTCTGAAAATTCCCTTCTCCAGTTGGGCCCCGGATACCAGGAGACCAGCCTACTCATGGCTTTTCAGAACCTTTGCCTTCAGAACCTATTTTCTTCCTGCCAGGAGCAGAGGTGTGCCAGTGGCCAAGGGAATGACATCGGGCAGACTCCCAAGCATGCCCGAGTATCTCATGTGACACTTTTAGATCAACGGGGCGTCGATTCTTATTTTGTCCCTCATCAGCCATTCTTAGTTAACTCTGGTTCTAACATCCAACATTAAAAAGCAAACGCATCATCTTTGCATTGAAATAGCAGCCAGTTTTGGACAGTGGATGAGGACAGATGTTGAAGCATTCCTATTGGAAGGCCAGCTCCCACTTTGGGCCCCAGTCTGCGAAGTGCTGACGATTGGCATCATGATAAGGAGCACATTGGCGTGAGTGGAGAGGGAAGCAAGGACCAGCTGTTGGATCAAGCGGGTTGGCTTTGAAGGCCAAAGGGGACTATCACTATGGGGAAACATCAAACTCCTACCCTTCGAGGGCCACCAGGGAATTGATCCTTACACAGTAAATGACGCTTTCTTCACTTTTCTTCCTGAGTCACATTCATGCAGCTCTTAGGGGAGTCTACAACAGGCTGGTTTAAACTTTCATGATTTGAGTGCTTGTCTCCCTGGAGTTTGGAACGGCTGTATTTTCTTGGACCATGAAGAACCAGATGGAAAGCTGAATTTTATAGTGTCTTCTGTTACTGTGGTCAGCAAAAAAATCCACGGATTTTGCTCATAAATTCAGGAGCTGGGTAAGCTGAAGAGAAAGGAAGGAGGGGCACAAGCTTCAGGCAGCTTTCTCACATTCCTGCCATGTTATTCTTTGGTCTTCATTTCTTAGTATATTCCAGGCTGTAAAGGCAGCATACAGATCATTCAGATCGGCAAAATCTAACCTGATGAGTCCGTTTTCCTCTCACTACTTTGTGCCAGGAACTGTAATAGGCTCTGGGGAGTCAGAGGCAAACAAGACGGATCTGGCCCCCGCCCCCACGGTGTCTACAGTGAGAGCAGGGAGTTAAACAAGCAAATACAATAAAGTGGGATGGTGGGGCAGTACCAGGCACCAGGGGAGCGCAGGGCTGAGGGACCTAACCTTGTCTAGAGACAGATCGATGGAGGCGGAGGGACCACCACATGCCAAGGTCCAGAGGTGGTTAAGAGCAGCATGCTGAGTGACAGGGGCACAGTGCAGGGGTCAGTGTCGTTTGTGGCTGGAATGCAGAGTGTGAGCAGGGCAGGCAGTGGGAGGCAAGGGTTTTCTGCAAGGGGGTGTTGGTCAGGTTTGCCTGCTCACTGACAGCAAAGTGAAAAAAAGTGGATTGGAGGATCCTTAATTTGAGAAACGCTCTGCTCTATAAGAGGAAGAAAAGGCTGCTGCAGATTTATTCTGCAGAGAAAAATCCCAAATCTGATGCCTTCTGGAATTTAAATCCTCCCATTTGTCATAAGAGTTTCCCCTGGGGGCGCCTGGGTGGCTCAGTCATTGAGCATCTGCCTTCAGCTCAGGTCATGATCCCAGGGTCCTGGGAGCAAGCCCCGCATCAGGCTCCCTGCTCCACGGGAAGCCTGTTTCTCCTATTCCCCCTGCTTGTGTTCCTTCTCTCACTGTGTCTCTGTCTGTCAAATAAATGGATAAAATCTTAAAAAAAAAAAAAAAAGAGTTTCCCCTGTCACCAGAATTCAACAAAATCTAGCCGCTTTCTTCACATGTGGCTTGTTAACCCCTTATAAGACTAGATCTTCTGGTGTGGTCCTGAATAATTTATGGGAATAGAATATATCAATGTACTCTCTATATGATCCCATGATGGAAGGGGAGTGTGGCCAAAATGCCACGTCTGCTGTTCTCATTTTTCTGTTGGTTCTGTGGAAAGCTGCAAATCAACCTCTCATCCACAGCATCCAACTGCAATTTAAACTTCAGAACTGGATCTAGGGGCGCCTGGGTGGCTCAGTTGGTTAAGCGACTGCCTTCGGCTCAGGTCATGATCCTGGAGTCCCGGGATCGAGTCCCGCATCGGGCTCCCTGCTCGGCAGGGAGTCTGCTTCTCCCTCTGACCCTCCTCCCTCTCATGCTCTCTGTCTCTCATTCTCTCTGTCTCAAATAAATAAATAAAATCTTTAAAAAAAAAAAAAAAAAAAAAAAGAACTGGATCTAGTTGGAATCAAAGAGAATTAATTCCACAATAATTAGGTGGCTGTTGGTATTCCTTCTCAGCAAGCAATACTGGAGCTTGGAGCTGATCCAGAATGCCTGGGAGGAATGATGTGTCCCTAGGGGAGGTGATATTTTCCAGTTGATGGACCTTCCATTACCAAGCTCTGCCTCACCTCTAATGGGTCAACCACAGGGCTTCCATGAACTCAGGAAAAGTGCTCTGTGCTCTAAAAAGGGCTGGAATCCAAGTTTTCCCCTTTGGCTAAAGCTGAAACAATAACAGGAACTTTCCCACCCACCTCTGTCTGCCTCAGGTAGTTGAGGTTTTGGAAATGAGTTGACTGTTTTTCAGCCTTTGGAATTCCTGATCTCCCTGTTATCCAGCTTGCTCCAAAATAAACACACCTGGGCCTGCCCCAGGTCCTCAGAGGCATAGCCCTGGAGGTTGGCTTTGGCTAGTTTCAGTACCTGAGAGATGATGCTCCCAAAGTGCACAGATATCCAACAGAACGTTCTCCTAGGAGCCCTTTGCTGGGCAGAGGGGGTTAGGGGGGTGAGATTTTCATAGAAATTTAATCCTCAGCACTTAGAACAGAGCCTGATAAGGGGTGGGAACTCAATAGGCTTAATATATTTGTGGAATAAAATGTGCATCACATGACCCCAGTTTGTAGTCCGGGGGTCACCTATTTTCTCCCCCACCAGATACCCCTTGACCCTCAGCCCAGACTGTAAGACTTCTTCCTCTCTGAGATTTTGCAGTGCAATTCTACCTACTTTTTTTTTGGACTGGGTAGGGGGTTACAAAGGTAAAGACAAGACTACTTAGTAGTTAAACTACTGAGTAGTTAAAAGATGTGGACCTGGGTTCAAATCCTGACCTCTCCATTTATCTTTTTGCTAGTAGGGAAATCACTTAGCCTCTGTCAGCCTCAGCTCCTCATTATAAATGAGTAGTAATATCTATCTCAAAGCACTGCGATGGAAATGAAACAACACATTGTACTTAGTACAACATCAGGCACCTAGTAAGAATTCAATGCAGGACGACGACGACAACGATGACAACGATGATGACATCTAGTAACATTTATTAAATTCATGCCAGATACTATTCTAGGCACTGGGGATATAGGAGTGAATAAGAAGAGGACAATGCTACAATATACATTAAACTTTAAAGAGGACAATTCAAGTACTGACAAGTACTATGATAAAATGAAACATTGTAACATGATAGACGTCTAGAATGTGGGGCAGCAATGCTACTTTAGATGTGGTGTCAAGGAATGCCCCCCTCCCCTAGGTGATATTTGAATTGAAACAGTGATTTTGGAGAGTGCCTGGCCAGAGGGTTAGAAAGATGGTCTGGGGGGCGCCTGGGTGGCTCAGTCGTTAAGCGTCTGCCTTTGGCTCAGGTCATGATCCCAGGGTCCTGGGATCGAGCCCCACATCGGGCTCCCTGCTCGGTGGGAAGCCTGCTTCTCCCCCTCCCACTCCCCCTGCTTGTGTTCCTTCTCTCACTATCTCTCTCTGTCAAATAAATAAATAAAATCTTTAAAAGAAAAAAAAAAAAGAAAGATGGTCTGGAATGGATAACACCTTGTAACACTACTCATTTATTGCTCTGTGTGTGTGTGTGTGTGTGTGTGTGTTTAAATACAGTGCCAGGCACTGTACTATGTACAGGGGACATGACAAGCAAAACTACATACAATCTGGGGCACCTGGGGGGCTCAGTCGTTAAGCATCTACCTTCAGCTCAGGTCATGATCCCAGGGTCCTGGGATCGAGCCCCGAAAAGGGCTCCCTGCTCGGCGGGAGGCCTGCTTCTCCCTCTCCCACTCCCCCTGCTTGTGTTCCCTCTCTCGCTGTGTCTCTCTCTGTCAAATAAACAAAACAAAACAAAACACAACACAGTCTATGCCCACACGGAAGAACTTAACAAATTAGTCAAATAAGCATGCAAACAAGTGCAGAGCCTGAACCACCAAGAGCAAGTAAGTACATGACTATATGTGGTCACTCAGCCACCAGAATTGGACTTACTTTGGGGACTAGTCAAGAGTTCCCTACTGAGAACTGGGCATCCATTGACACCAGTTCTAGGCCACCTCTGCCCCCAACCTACTGTGAACTAGGGCAAGTCACTGCCTCTCTGGACCACAGTATCCCGTTTTATTAAAGAAGAGACCCCAGATGATTTTAATTTTCCTCCCACTCTGAGGACTTGGCATTTTCCTCTCCAAAGACCACAAATTTCACTCTAAAGCTAGTAACTGATGTCATGACATTAGAGCGAGGTACTTCCGCCGTTGCCTCCATCCTGTCCAGGAGGCCTAATTCTGTTTTGGTTGTCACGGCAACCGCCTGGGCCCTCCTCCGGCGGGCGGAAACTTACAGTGACGACTGCAACTACCCACTATCAGGCGTCCCATTTGCCAGGTTAAAACATGGCCACCGCTACAACAACCGACCCAAGCTTCTCCCTAAATACCCGGGCCTGAGCGTCCCTGGGGCCTAGGGCAGGAAAGGGAGGAACAGCCCCGCCAGTAAGCGAACGGGATTTCCGGAAACGTTCACCCAAGCCTGAGCACCTAGGGCCTCTCCCAGAAGCACCCGACCACCGCCCTAGAACGTCACTTCCGTCGACCCATGCGCCCAGGATTGACAGCAGAGAACATCCAATCAGAAGCGGCCACACCCAGGCCCAGGCGGGGCAGGCTTAGGACCGGGAAGCCCCGCCCCTCGCCAACGTGTGACGTCGAGTCGCCATGGCCAGCTACCCGTACGGGCAGGTGAGTGCTTTTGGCGGGGGCGGGCGATTCCAAGTAGGGGCCTCGCCGAGTCCAGGCCCGGACCCCGCTTTACTTTCTCCTGGCATTCTCCGCGCCCTTCCCACGCTGAGGTTCGCTTCAGCGAGGTCTCGCGCGGCAGAGAAGGCGAAAGGGCTGGTCGGTCGCGCCTGTCTCGCGTCACGCAGGACTACAGGTCTGGGAGGTCGCGTCGCGCCCCCTCTGACGTCGCGCCCGGGAGGATTTGGGGACCTTGGACCCCACGTAATCAGGCTGGGCTGTGCTGGGGCCCCACACCTTCTCAGGACTCCCGCGGGGGCTCCCGGCGGGCTCACCAACGCCAACAGAGCATTTAGAGCACTGGCTTCGTCGGCATCGTTCGGGGCGTCTGATAAAAATACACCCCTGATACACTGCGTGCGAATCATCAGGAGAATCTGTGGTTTCCGCAGTTTCCTCGAATGACCTTATTTGCTTAGTCTAACACCTCCATTTCACGCATAGGAAAAGTGAAACCCAGAGAAGACACAGAACTTAACCTGCAGTCTCCTGGCAGGCAGCAGAACCCGGAAGCAGTCAGCAGATGCCTCTTCCCCACTCCCCTGCCCATTTTGATCCAGCCAAGAACACCACAGCAAGGTGATTCTGTGGCCAGAATCCTTTGTTGGATGACAGATAAGGTAGAGTGGTTAAGTTCAGCTTGGAGGCAGAAGAAGGTTCACACCTTGGCTCCATCACTTAAATAGTTATGAGCCATTAAGCCTTTGGAGCCTGTTTCCCTCTCTCTAAAATTGGGCCCAATAATAGGGTCTACTTCAGAGAGCTGTCATGAGTAGTAATGAAGTCATGCTTGTAAAGCATTTGGTACTTCTAAGAGTGTAACAGTATTTTAGTATTTGGATCTTTCTCTAGACTCCAAGATCATGCTAATTTAGGAGATAAAACCCATGCAGGGAAAGTAGGAAAACAGAATTACCTGGGATATTAGAAAGCACTTAACTGAGTATAGTCACATGCCAAAAGAATGGTGAGGAAGTGCAGCTCTGTATGGCTTTTGTACACAGTATTTGGACCTTTTTAATCTCAGTGATGAAGGCCCCGTAAGCATGCTAGTAGAGATTATTATCCCCAGTTCATAGCTGAGGAAGGAACCCAAAGAGGTGAAATGGCTTGCCCAAGGTCACATATAGCAAGTGAGGGAGTGAGGCCAGGGCTGGAATGTAGAACTCCTTTCGTTGCATACTTAGCAGAGGTAGAAAAAAAGCTAGCATGGGCTGAGGTTAGGAGGAAGTATAACCTAGCAGGGCTCCTGAAGCTCCATTCCGTTTGTTGGGTCTTATGAAATGTTAATAGGTATTGCTAATAGAGGAGGATTCTGTGGTTAAATAAGTTTGGGAAACACTGTGAAACACAGCTGAATAAGTTTGTTCAACATGAAGCATCTCAGAATTCTTAATTTGTTAATATGCTTTGTAAATTTGCCAGAGAGGGATAGAATATGCAGTATTTCTTAAACTTTTTTAACCATGGGAACTCCCTCCCATCCCCAACCCCCTTTTTCTAAAATTTCTGGTCATTTTTTGGTGACACTAGTATTCTTGAGGAACACAGTTTGGGAAAACATTGCCATGGTGCATTGTTTCTCAGTGGATGGTCTGTATCAGAATCACCTAGGAGCTTGTTTAAAAAGCACTTTGGGGGCGCCGGTGGCATAGTCCGTTGAGCATCTGACTTGGTTTTGGCTCAGGTCATGATCTCAGGGTTGTGAGATCGAGCCCTGTGTTGGGCTCTGGGCTCTGCCCAGAGTCTGCTTAGGATTCTCTCTCCCTCTCCCTCTGTGCCTGCTTGTTGCACTCTCTCCTTCTCTCTCTCAAATAAATAAATAAATCTTAAAAAAAAGAAAAGTGCATACTTTGGGTTCCGTCTCAGACCTATTCTGTGCCCAGGAAGGGCCCAGGAATCTACATTTTAATAAGCTTCTGGAGGTATTTTGTGTGCATCTTAGAGGCAGTGACATAGAAATTAGGAGCCTGCACTTCCAGGTTGGATACAATTGTGCTAGAATCCTAATTCTAGCACTTAATAGTTACATACCCTTGGACAAACCATCTATGGGCTCTGAGCCTCAGTTTCCTCACCTTTAAAAAGGAATACTTCATAGGGCTGAAATGAAGACAAACTGCTAAAACTTGCAGTGAGCTTGGCACATTGTTGATACCAAGTGTGTGCCCGTGCCTGGTGGAGTCTCTTTTTTTTTTTTTTTTTTAAGATTTTATTTATTTATTTGACAGAGAGAGAGACAGCGAGAGGGAACACAAGCAGGGGGAGTGGGAGAGGGAGAAGCAGGCTCCCCGCTGAGCAGGGAGCCCGATGCAGGGCTCGATCCCAGGACCCTGGGACCCTGACCTGAGCTGAAGGCAGATGCCTAACGACTGAGCCACCTAGGCGTCCCTGGTGGAGGTTCTTGCTGCTGTTGATTGCTGTTACGCCACATGGCCTGGGCTTCTGCTCAGAGTGAAATACTGAAAAGGAGCACGGAGAGAAATGCATCCAGAATAGAAGAAATACTTTTATCCCTGCCATCATGCGTTGTCCGCCTGTGCAGCTCCGGTCCAGGGTGTTCTAAGAAAATACCTGGTTGTTTCAAAGCATACAAAGGCTTAGTGCCGCCTCCCCTCTACCCAGAACGTAGCCCTGCAGGATTCCAACCAATTGTTAGGAGTCAAAACTCTTATTAATTTTTCCACTGCCACCAGCCCCAGGGTCCTCAAGCATGGTCTGGGTGTTGGAGTAGTGAAACCCAAGTGCCCTTGGGTCCTGGGCAGGGGAGCCAGTTTGATGGGTTTCAGTGATTGAGAGCTTGGCTCTGAGACTGAGAAATTTGGCTGCACATCTCTGCTCCGCCATTTCCTCACAGAAATTTCTTGCCAAAGTTCAAGGCTCAGTTTCCCCTTCTTTAAAATGGGGTCATAAGAGCACCTGCCTCAAGAGTTACTGTAAAGATTAAAGGAGCTAATCCATGTAAAGTGCTTGGTGTGTTGTTTGGCATATAGTAAATACTCCAAGGAAAGAGTGATACAAATAGATAAATTGTGGAATCAGTGTGATAAATGCTAAATGGGAGTAAGTGTAAGGTACTAGGACAGCACAGGAGGGATGCCTAACTAAGTGTGTGGGGGAAGAAGGCTTCTTGAAGGAGGTGACATTGAAGCCAAAAGCTGAATCACCAGTAGGCATTAGCTGATTGAAGAAAGAGGGAATAGCACGCACAAAGGTCAGCTGACAAGAGCCCAGTATTTTGGAGGAATTTCAGGAGATCAATACCGAGTGAAGAAGGGGAAAGGGCTGAGAAATGAGACCAGAAAGGTAAGCAAGGGCCAGATCCTCAAGGACTTTGTATACCTTTCGGGGGAGTGTGGATTTCATCCTGACTAATGAGGGAGTTGTAGAAGAGTCTTGTCTCATTTGTGCTTTGGACTTGGTACTGTGGGGCACTGTGAGAATGGACCAATGCAGGAGACACTGGAGGCAGGGAGACCGGTCTCAAAGCTGATGAAGTATCCTTGATTAGAGAGAATGGGGGCCTGGTGAAAATGGATTTGAGAAACATTTGGGAGGTAGAATTGAGAAAACTTGGTGCCTAATTGGGGTGATGGAGGGGAGGAAAGAGGAAGTGCCCAGGAGGGCACTAAGGCTTCAGATTTGGGGGACTGGGTGGGAGGTACCATTCACTGAGATGGGGACACAGAGGGAGGAATAGATTTGGAGGGAAGGTCCAGGAGGTTGTTGGATACGTGGGTCAGCCAGCAGCTCAGGAGAGATGAAGCTGGACAGAAGGATTTTGGAGTGTCAGCACACAGATGGTAATTGAAGTCTTGGGACATTTCTTGGCCCGCTGTTTATTGGCTGCAGGTTTCTTGCCTTTAAATATTTTAGGAGGCTCTGCTGGTGAATGCCCAAACCACTCCTGTCTTCTGGATTGTTTAACCCCTTAGAATGTGCGTTAGCCTCCTCCAGCTGACACTTGAGGGACAGCTTCAGAGCACAGGCCTCTTTGCAAGGCAGCCTACTTCCTTCCCCATCAGGACTCCACATGGACCAACCTTTGATATCTCTGAACTTCACGGGGGTCTTGGGGGTAGAAGAATGAACCCTTGAACCAAAAGAAGATATTGAACTTCCTGAGTGGGTTATTTAGGAGGAGGTGAGCTGCCCATCACTTGCAGGAATGCAAACAGATTCAAGATGGTGCTGCAGAGATTCCATCCTCTCCTGAGAGGTCGGACTGGAGGCTCTCTGGGATCTCTTACAGTACTGTGCCTCTCAGATTGGGTCTAGGTGCAGAGGTGAAAAAAGAGTAAGATTCTTCGGAGTCTCCCTGATTTCTGGGCTTGAAGCCTCGGAAAGATCACCTAATCCAGCCCTTCCCCCTTCAGCCCTGTCCACTGTAGAAATCTATCACGTCTGACAGTTATATTGAGGACAGTCCCTGTTCAGTCACAGTTGAGTGAACACAGCAGAGGGTAGTAGAGTAGAGGCCCTGTTGTGAATCCCAGCTCACCTGTTCTAGCCGTGTCATCACAGGCACACTAGTAACTCTGTACCTTAATTTTCTCATCTGTAAGTAACATGGGGGTAACAGCACTTCCCTCACAGGACTGAGGATCAGTGGGAGCCAGCTGAACTGGAAGCACCTAGCAGAGCCTCCGGAAAATGTTAATCGCCCCCTCCCCCACCCCAGTATATCAAATGTAGTTTATGTGCCATCAGTAAAGACCTAGGGAGGGGCACCTGGTTGGCTCAGGCAGCGGGGCATGTGGAGCTTACAACTCTTGATCACGGGGTTGAGTTTGAGACCCACACTGGGTGTGGAGATTACTTAAAAATAAAATCTTGGAGCGGGGGAAGACCTACGGATAGTTTTCTGTGATGCTTCAGAAGCTGTGGTTGCTGAACCCTTCCTTCTTTCCTTCCACAATCTCGTGTTGATCAACATGAAATGCTCTTGGAAAAAGTCTCAAAAGGGTTGGCAGCGTGGAATAGCATAAAAGAACAGGGAGTCAGGGACTCCGGTTTTCATGTCTGGTTCAGACCTTCACTAACAACTCAGTGACCCTGGGAACCATCATCCCCGGCCCGGGTTCTGCCTCAGTTGGTGGCTGCACTTCATCTGTACTTGCTGGGTACCTGAGTCATTCTAAACACTTCCCCTTCCTTCCCCCTCCACCTCCTCCCTAATCGAATTAGTTGTCAAGTCATGTCTAGCCTATCTCTGAAATAGCTTCAGAATCCATCCTGTTCTCTCCATGTCTAAGTCTGCTGTCTGGTTCAAGCCCTGCCTGCCTAGCTCCTGGGCTCCACCCTGCTGCTGATTAATTCTCTAAACAAGGCTCTGATCACATTCCTCCTCTATTGGAAACCCTTCTATGGCGCTCTGTTTCCTCAGGCATAAAGCCCAAACTCTTCAGAGCGGTATTCATCTGTTCAAATATTTATGGAGGCTTGCAGGTGCCAGGCACTGTGCTGGAACCTGGGTACCCTGATGAATGAGGCCCAGTGTCTGGCCTTGGGGCGCCCACTGTTGTGTGGAGGAGACACAGACAGACAGAAAGTACGTTAAGACACCAGTAACTCACCCGCTAACTGAAATGCAGCAGGCAGGGAGCCTGGTCAAAGAAAGTGTAAAGAGCCTGCCTTTCCGAGTTCACCTTGCATCCTTGCCCCCGCCCCTGCTTTCCAGCCATCCCCCCACCTCTTGGTGCTCACTCACAGGCCTGTGCCTGTCTTCTCCCTCCTGTCCAGAATATCCTTTCCTGCTTTCCTTTTGGGGAATGCCTAGGCATCCTTCACGGCCAGCTCCAGTATCACTCTTGCCTCCTCCAGGAAGCTTTCCTTGACCTACTTCGTGCATTGCTTCATTTGTTGTTGTTGTTTTTTTTTTTTTAAGATTTTATTTATTTGTCAGAGCACAAGCAGGGGGAGCTGCAGGCAGAGGGAGAAGCAGGCTCCCCGCTGAGCAAGGAGCGTGATGCAGAACTCGATCCCAGGACCCTGGGATCATGACCTGAGCTGAAGGCAGCCGCTTAACTGACTGAGCCACTCAGGCGCCCCTTGCATTGCTTCAGTTGATTGCTCATCCATCATTCAACAAATGGAATAAATTCTTCTCTTTGTGCCTCCTTGATAGCATTTAAGTAGGCTTTTCTGATGGCACCGATCAGACTGTATCCGAATCACCGATGGGACCCTCCGGGACAGGCCCTGTTTAGTTTTGCGCCCCATGCCTAGTACGGTACACTCTATAAATGCTTGCTGGATGAAGTCATTGCGGGTTGCATACCTCAATTTCTTCATCTGAAAAGCAGCCTCCTAATAGCTTCCCTTTTTCTGTTTGAGGACTGTTGGCAGGATTCTGCTGGTAGCATTTGTGTGTTTGTTAAAATGCTCTGTGAACTGTGCAGGTGAGGGCTCTCATGCAGGGCAGAGAGGAGAGGGTTTAGTTGCCAAACTGCACCAGACCCAAGCAGGCCCCTGGAATGTGGCAGTGGGAAGGTCAGAAGACCTGCCTGGCAGTACCTGCTTTGTTGGTCGGGGGGCATTTCCCAGGGGGGAAGGCCTGGGCCTCGGGTGCCCTAGGCCAGGGTTTATGGCTTTGCCCACCAGGCTGCTTCTGGAGCAGCTACTTCTTGGCTTGGTGTCGGGCCTGTTCTTTGGGTGTGCCCAGACTCTGCAGGGTCCCCACCCCTCTTCCCATCCTGCGCCAGCATCCTGTGCCCTATTGCTTAAGGAAAGAACACTGTAGCCCAGGCAGCAGGAGTTACTGTGCCCGGGTGTGGCGGGAGGTGGTCTGGCCCTGGCAGAGGTCCACCTCTGCCTCCAGCTCCGTGGGATTTGAGCAAGTCCCTTTCCCTCTTCTAAGTTTCCCCATCCGGAAACTGAAGGGGTTAGATGACCACCTCCCGCACATCCCTCCCATCACACTGCTCCAACTCCCTTGGAATCTTTTTCATTCCTTTCTTTTCTTTTCTTTTTTAAAAGATTTTATTTATTTATTTGACACACAGAGAGCACAAGCAGGGGGAGCAACAGGCAGAGGGAGAGGGAGAAGCAGGCTCCCCACTGAGCGGGACTCGATCCCAGGCCCCTGGGATCATGACCTGAGCCAAAGGCAGACGCTTAACCGACTGACCCACCCAGGCGCCCCTTTTTCATTCTTTTCATCCCAGCTCAAACACTGCTTTCTCATGGAAACTCCCTCAACTTCACCCTCTTTCCTTTCACGGCTTGTGTGCCTGCTTTGGAAACACCCGGTTCCTTTGGCAGTTTTGTTAGATGTTACGGAGGGCGTTTCCGTGCCTCTGCAGTTAACTGGGAGCTCCTTCAGACTGGTTCTCACCTTTATATACCCCCTCCCCAAGAATTTACCTGGCCCAGGGCTTTGCTGACAATGAGTAATATAACAGTAGCCAAGATTTATAGATCATTTGCTTTATGCCAGGCACTGTTGTAAGAACTTGTTTTCTTATGTCAGTGGTTTTCAGACTGTCTTTTGAGTCACTATGTGGCATCTGCAGAGCTCCCTCAGCATCTAACAAAGGAGGGGGCCCTGCATGGTCGGGGCTCTGGAATCCCCACCGGGCTTCAACCAAAGCCACTTTCTTTTATCAGTTTTTAAAATTTTATTTTATCAAAAGAGTCTTTAGCTAAAAGTAAGACTGACAAAATTCTGCTGCATTTATGTCTTGTATTCAGCAGAGCGACCCAGTGAGGGAGAGATTATCATATTTTGCTTGTGAAGGAGCAGGCTCAGAGAGACGAAGCCAGGGGCCCACAGTGAGAACTCAGCTGGTGAGTGCAGAGTTTCGGATTGAGAGTGGCCCATGACTTCACCGCAGAGAAGTCTTGCTGCCTGCTTTGGAGGCTTCCAGGGCAGCAGAGCTCCCACCGTGCTGAATGGGGAAGGTGGAAGGACCTGCTTCCGGCCCCCCTCAAGAAGCCCCCCTTCCTTGAGCCGCAGACCTCCTTTAGATGAAGTGTGAGTTCGGCCTCAGCCTTGAGGGCAAGTGTCTCAGAAGCTATCAAACACAATAAAAAGAGCAAGTCCAGGCTCTCCGAGGCTAGGCCACTAGTGTGCCTTCTGGGTTTATCTACAGCATGTCTAGATGGCACCCTCCTCAGAGCTGGGCCCAGCTGCTCCCCGTGCCTCTGTGCCCAGCCTGTCTGCAGCTGTGTTGGGGCTCTCTCTGCTGTGTAGGCAGTTGCAGCTGAACACTGAGTTTGGGGATCCTTGGCTAGTGGTGTGGGGACATGGACAAGAGAGGGGACACCCCCTTGTCTGTGCTAAGGGACAGATGGCCTGGGTCCCGGCCCCTCTACACAGTCTATGTGCGATTTTTCTGGATTGGGGTTTCCTCCCGTGTCAAAGCGCTTCACACACCTGGTCTCATTTCATTCGCATTCCAACCTGGGAGGTAGGCACTGTTTTATTCCCCTTTAGAACAAAGGATATTGAGGCTTAGAGAGGGGAAGTCATTGGTCCAGTTAGTAAGTGGCAGAACCTGAACTCAAACTGGTCTTTTTGATTCTTACTGATTGTACTCTGGTGCCTGAGGAGCAGGGTCTCCCCTGCCTGTCTCCAGAGTCACGAGTGAGAAGGGGACATGCTTTTGTATCTCGAGCTATTCTTGGCTGAGGAAGATATGCTGCAAATGAGCCCATGCTATGGATATATTTGTGATTGAAGAATGTCGGGTTGTAGGGTGGAGACCGCATTTGCACTGTGAGTCCTCCAGGTAGAGATGGAGAGAGATGGACGTAGCACAGGGTGAGGGGTTGGGATTTTGGCTCATTTGCCTCCTCATTCATTCAATTATTTACTGAGCATGCATTCAGCACTGGGGGCTAGGGAGAAAGTGGCAAACCAGACATGATCCCAAGCCATCACGGAGCCCTTGGTGTGATGGAAAGGGGAGCCAGGAGGGCAGGATTCCAGCCCTGACTCCACACGTCATTGGTGGTATGATCTTGGGTAGGTTTTCTCTTCTCTAGAAGCCTCAGGTTGTCCATCTGAGCAATGAGGTCATAATTCCAGCCCTGCCTATAGGATCAGTTGAAAGAGTGGCAGTGGCCGGGCTTTATAATGGTACAGTGCCATACTGGCTGTTTTCTGGCCTTACCATTCTGACTGATAGTTTGCTCTTCTTGCAGGGCTGCTCAGGAGCTGGAGGACAAGCGCCCGGAGCCCCTCCGGGCAGCTACTACCCTGGACCCCCCCATGGTGGAGGGCAGTATGGCAGTGGGGTACCCCCCGGTGGCGGTTATGGAGGGGGTCCTGCCCCCGGAGGGCCTTATGGACCGCCAGCTGGTGGGGGACCCTATGGACACCCGAGCCCTGGGGGACTCCCCTCTGGAACTCCAGGAGGACAGTATGGTGGAGCGGCCCCAGGGGGCCCCTATGGTCAGCCACCTCCGAATTCCTACGGTGCCCAGCATCCTGGGCCTTATGGACAGGGACCTCCTCCAGGTAAGTAGGGCTCTTGGACTCCAGGCGCCTCTGACTTTGTTCTGCATTCCCCAGGGCCCATCCTTGCCCTTCCCGTGGGTGTGCAGGCAGCCTGGTCTCTGGCCCCCAGCATCTTGCCTGTAGCTGCAGCTTGCATCAGCAGAACGCGTCTGCGAGTTAGCTTTGCCATGGTAACAGTAACTCCAGACTCATTCGGGCTTACGACGACGGCATTTATTTCTGTTGCTTACGTGCCAGCAGCTGTGGGTCTGGCTGCCGAGGTTCTGTGCCGTGCGTCTTTTCCTTCCAGATCCAGGTGGAAGGAGCAGCCCTTAATTGGGATAGGCTGTTCTCGTGGCTAGACAGATCGGGAGGGTTAGCAGGAATGCACAATGCCTCTTAAAAGCTTCTGTGTTGAAGTACTTTACATCTCTTCCACTCACGTTCTATTGGCCAGACCACATCCCCTGGTCAAGCCTGACATCAGTAGGATGGGAGTGGATATTGCTGTCCTGCAGGGGCTCTGCAAGCCACCAGGCAGTAGAGAGGATGTACGGTGCTCTTATAGGGGAGGGAGAGGGTAGGATTAGCAAACAACTAGAAGCAGTGTGCCGTGGGGAGAACCCGTTTCTACGTGAGGGAGACTGGCCACTCTATATAGAAAGGCAAGATAGTGTAGTTATTGAAAGCCTGGGCTTTTGAGATCAGGCCACCTACTGACCTGACTGAATTACTTCACCTCTTTGCGCCTAAATGTCCACTTCCATAAAATGGGTGAATGCCATTACCCGACAAGATTATTAATAAGTATTTGATGAGAAGGTACAGGTAAACGCTGGGTACAGTGGGAAGGGCTTAATACGCAATATTCTATGAGAGGACTCATTCTGGGACGTTCTCAGCAAAGAGGTATTCCGCATGAATGTGATAGCGTTTGTGGCAAGGGCCTCACCCCTGAGAGATACTGAGGCAGGTAGGAGAATGATGGGATGCAGGGAGGGTAAAGAGCAGAGATGCTGGACAAGGTAGGGGAGGAGAGCGTGGAGAATCCTGGCGGGGGGCTTCAGGCTCCCTGCAAATGACCGAGTGACCTCAGACGGGGGCAGGGAAGGTGAGTGCCTAGATCGCTGTTAACTCCAGGACTCACTCAGTCGGCCTCTTCACAGAATGCTTATTCCCAGGAGACAAAACCAGCAGCATGCAGCCTGGAACCACTCTGGTGCACCTGCAGGGCCTCCCGGGAACGGCCCCGCGGGGAAGCTGCCGCATCTTAGCACACATTCCCAGGCAGGTGGCCCTGACGGAGAGCTCACACCTTGGGGGTTCCAAACACTGAATCAGCGGCATTTATCTTGTCAGAGCCCTAAGCTCCTGTTTGCTTTTAGCTCAGCAGCTTCATGGTGGAGTTCCTCAGCCTTCTAAACTCTTGCCTGTGAGCCCGCATGAGGTCACTGCAGGTAAAGGAGCCCCTCTCTGTGAGGCTTGTCCCTTTAGGGCCAGAGGCCAGAGATCATGTCTGGGGCTGCAGAGAGAGGAGAGATGTGCCTCCGACTCTTAGCTGCTCCCCATCTTCTGCAGCTTCCTTTCATGTGGCCTCCATTCCTCTTCTCCAGCGCAGCTCATGCCTCCCTGGAGCTCAGCTGCAGGGGAGTCACCTGGGAGGCCCCACCTCAGCCCCACTGGATGAATCCAGGATCTAAGGTGTGAGCACCACTGCTCTGCAAGACAGATTAGCCCATCGAAGGTGCTCCACTGCCCTCAGGAAAGATCCTACAGGGGCTCGAGACCCAACGGGCCTTTTTGGCCTCCACGCCTGCCGTGGACCCTCTCTGCCGTCCACCTGAGTCCTGCTGGAGTTCTCTGAACACCCTCTGCCCCTGCCGCCTGCTTTCCTTCTTCCCTTCGCAACTCTTTTCTCCTCCTTCCAGACAGTCCTTCCTCTGGGAAGATGTGCCCGCACACGTTGTCAGGCCCTTTGCCAAAGCTTTATTTTGCTGTGACCTCAGTTACTCATCACACAGCCCTGGGAAGTAGGTCCTTTTTTGGAATGGGGCCATCAGTACTCAGAAAACCCAGTCGTTTGTCCGAAGTCACACAAGCTGGTGAGGATCAGAGCTGCTTGCTTCCATAGCCTGGGCTCTTTCGTGCAAACCGCCTAGACCGTGTGTCCCAGAGACTCTCTCGCTCGGGGCCATGGCCCTCACTCCCTGTGGCCCAGCTGCTGTTTCAGGAAGGGGCTGTGGGACCTGCCTGGGTTTCCCATCCATGGAGGTCAGCCTAGGCCCTCAGTCAAGCAGACCTTTTTCTTCGGGCCTCACCTTGGGGACTAGGTGGTGGCTTCTGTGCTCCACCAGGGCCCGTGGCTGCCTCTGATGTCTGCCTGGGGGGAAGGAGCCCATTTGGTGGCCAGTTCACCCAGTTGGCTTTCCAGTACTGCGTAAGTCTGGCTTTTTGCTAAGATAGGCCTATGTGCTTCTCCACTTTCATCTCCCACCCCTTCACTCTGCATGTCTTTCCAAGTGAATGATCTTTTCCTCCACCTTCTGACAGACACCCAAAGCTATTTGAACCACAACAACAGTACCGATAATCAGCAGATAGATAGTACTTAGATTGTACCAGATGCTTCAGGCTTTTCATGTGTTACGTCTTCATAGTAACCTTGTGAAGTAGATGCTCCTGTCCTCACTTTACAGATAAGAAAACTGAAATAGAGAATTTAAATAAACCAAGGCCGCAAATGGGGGAGCTGGGACTAGAACCATGAAGCCAGCTCTGGCATGAATGGAGCACCTTTCCTGTCTGGGTCTGGCCCCGTGCTAGCCCTTGGGGACTCAGAAAGGAGTTAGGCGGGGAGCTTGCCCACAGCTTGCTCCAACTCTAACCTGGAAGGGGGTAGAAGAAAACATGTACAGAGGAGATCAAGGCCATAGAGAGAAGGAGTGCAAAGGAGAGGGGAAGGAAGCCTGTCCAAAGATGGAGGAATAGGGAAGGTTCTGTGGAAGGAATGGCATTTTATTTGGGTTTTGCAGGAGGACAGGAAATGATGCAGAGAGGTGAGGGAGAAGGGGTCCATGGTAGGGAACAGTGAGTAAGGCCTCTGGTGGGAATAAACAGGAATGGCTAAGTGAGTCAAATACTTCATCTGGGCTGGAACAGAGCTGTGAGGGGGACAGAGTGGGAGAGGTAGGCAAGAGTGGGCCACGTTGCGGGGGGACCTGGAATGCTGGATTAAGGATGCTGGACAATTTTGTAGGCAGTGGAACCTTGAAAGAGTTTTGAGTTGAGGCGGGGGGTGGGGAAAGGAGTTAGAACTGAGCTGGATTTTAGAGATTACTCGGTAGCAAGTGAAGAGTGGCAGAGAGTAGCTGTAAGGATGATTTGGTTAGGCCTTTTGGTTTGTTACAGCAATCCACGTGAGAGGAGTCTGAACCAGGGCAGGTGCATAGGAACGGGGAGGAGGCACAGAACTGGGCAGCTCTCTGGGTGTGTGGGGGTGAGGAGGTGTCAGAGATGTCTCCCCTGCGTTGGAGCTGATGGGGAACGAGAAGAGGTGGAGTTCCGTGGCCATGTTCACTCTGGTGGCTCCTGGTAGAATATGTCTACTGCCGCTGTGATGGAGAAATCAGACGGGTCAGACCTGGTTCCCACGCCAGAGAGCCCCCTGCTGCTGTGACTCTCAAAATACCTGTTTCTGGGCTGTGTGTGTGAACTGCTCAGCAAACATTTTTGGATTCCCAGGCTGTGGGGAAGAGAGAATCCTTCTTTTCAGAGCATTCGTAGTCAGCTGGAAAGTCCCCGTTCCCTAGAAACTTAAGATCAAAGAGAGAACTGACTGAACATTGTAGGAAAAGCCCAGATTCACGGAGTAGAAGCCAGCTATAGATACTCGTTGAGTCTACGCTCAGAGACTGCTCTGAGTCTTCCATCAGAGTAAGGCCGTTGGCTTGCTGGAAGACGGGGTAGGTGGACTTGTGAGGCTTTGTGGGTAAGGAAAACCTGTCCCCCAGGAGGCACCGAGGCTGGCCCTCCCCAGCATGTCTTTGGACTGGCTTTGAGACCGGCCTCTGACTCCTCTGGTTTGCACCCCTTCCCGCAGGTGGCGTTCCTCCCAATGTGGATCCTGAGGCTTACTCCTGGTTCCAGTCAGTGGATGCCGATCACAGTGGCTACATCTCCATCAAGGAGCTGAAGCAGGCTCTGGTCAACTCCAACTGGTCCTCTTTCAATGACGAGACATGCCTCATGATGATAAGTGAGTTCTAGCCCTTCCCCGTGGGCTGTGGGCTCGAGGTGGGGCAGAGCCACCTGACGCCTGACAGCGGGTGCGCAACCATTCGGAGGAGAGATCTTTCAGCCAGGGAGGATTTCAGGCAGGAAGTTGGGTTCAAGGTGAGATCCTCTAGACTGAGAGCTCTTTCCCCTAGATCTTTTCTCAAGTTGCAGACCCTGCTGAGTCACAGGCTCTTTGGTTTTCCGTTCTGCAGAATGGGACTCCCTGCACCCTTAGCAGATGGCACAGAGTGGGGTCAGCTGCCGGGTGTGCAGAGAAAATGTGGTTCTGGAAGGGCCAGGGCTGAGGGTGGCCAGGGGCGGGGGCTGGTCCACACTCGATGAGAGTATGTCTCAGGTGCAGGCATCTGGGCCTCAGGCCTGTGGTTCTGTGGAGTCTTGTACTCTGGCCCGGGTGCTACCCGAGGACCCTTGGCCCTCAGTCTTGAAGCTTTTCTTCCCTCCCCACCCAAGACATGTTTGACAAGACGAAGTCAGGCCGCATCGACGTCTATGGTTTCTCAGCCCTGTGGAAGTTCATCCAGCAGTGGAAGAACCTCTTCCAGCAGTATGACCGGGACCGCTCCGGCTCCATCAGCTCCACGGAGCTGCAGCAAGGTGAGGGCCATGGGAGGGGCTCAGTGCACAGGCCCAGCCCCACTTTTCTCTTTATTCCCTGACGGGGAAGCCGGTGTTCTCTAGCTTCTGGCTGCCAAATGCCCATGTGCACTGTAAAATGCTGCTCTCAGCACCAGCACAGGCCCACTCTCTGTCCCGTCTGTGACCTGGCTGGGGCACTGAGCCAAGATCCAGGGCAAGGGAACACCTGGTTCCGGGATGAGGGCTGGACACCCCCCTCGGGACGGCACTCGTGGCTGTGCTGGATGAGGTAGACCCAGCCAGCCGGAGCCTCGGGGGTGGGAGCTCGGTAGCCCAGGGCACCCCGAGACCAGGACATGTGGCTTGTGTGGCTCTTTCCTCTCTGGTTTCTAGCATGCTGAATGGAAAGAGCCCTGTACAGGGACTCAGAAAGGTGGTTTCTGTTGCCATCTCTGCTAGAAGGCAGTTTCCTTCCCAACTCTGGGACCCAGACCATGCTAAAAGTGACAGTCGGCTCAAGATGACCTGAGGCCATAGCTCCAGGTCCGGTTCCGATTCTGACTTTAGAAGATGGGTGGTTATTGGGGTGATAAGCATTTGACAGGGAGTTTTGCCACCTGGGAGGGAGAAAGGGCTCCCCAGAGAACCTGGCCTCTTGCCCCGGCCATGGATTTCAGTAAGACTGAGGAGCTCTGTGGTGGGGGTGAGCTCACCGTATCTGCGCCCTGGTTGAAGGGAAAGGACATGACCTGCATGACTGTACTGATCACCTCCTCTTTTGCCCAGTCCTGTCATGGGTATTGGTAAGGGTGATGCTGTCACAGCAAAATGTGTATTTATTGACTGCTTGCTGTGGGCCAGGCACTGGAATAAGCACTTCTGTGTTACATCACTCACTCTCCCGTGCGAGAGCTAGTGTCTGTTCCTCCCCACTCTTACCTGAGGGATCTCTTATTATTGCCCTTTTGCAGATGAGAAAACCAAGGCTGAGTTTAGGCAACTTGCCTAAGGGCCACATAGCAAAAGGGGAACTTTTAGCCTGGGCTGGTAGATACGCGGAGAGGAAGAAAGGAAGCCTCCCAGGTGGGGGGACAGGGTAGCACATAGGCGGTGACCTTGGAACCGCCCAGCAATAGCCTTGCCTGGGGAGGTGATGATGATTTTATTATTTTTAACAAGTAACACTGAGGGCTTATTATGTGTCAGGCACTGTGCCAAGTGCTTTACAGGATCCCCTCTCTTAGTCCTTACTAGAACCTACAAGGTAAGTATTATCCCCATTTTAGAGATGATAGGACAGAGGCTTAACAAGGTTAAACAACTTGCCAAGGGCCTCTCTTGACTCCAGAGCAGGCCTTTGTCATGTCTCCCTCTCTGCCACACTGCTTCTGATGTCCACCCTGGGCAGGGGGCTCTTGGGGGCTCAGGCTTCCTTCTGTAAAGCAGATGAGTCACATATGAGCATGGCTAGCCCCGTGACATTCTGGGACCCTATGGGTCTGATTGCACAGAGAGTAATGGAGATTTGGAGAAAGGGATTGGGGCTTTCCAGCTAAGGGGATCATCCAGACAGAGCCCCTTTTGGGCTCCCACCATCTTGGGCAGACCCTAGGGACTTCTTCCTCCTTCTGTCCTCTCAAAGTCCCCTGCACTGCTGGGCTCCACAGAGCTGGTTGACGGTGGTGCTCACAGCAGGGTTTTGTGCCTGTTATCTGTGCCCTCCTCCGCAGCTCTGTCCCAGATGGGCTACAACCTGAGTCCCCAGTTCACCCAGCTCCTGGTCTCCCGCTATTGCCCACGCTCCGCCAATCCCGCCATGCAGCTAGACCGCTTCATCCAGGTGTGCACCCAGCTGCAGGTGCTGACCGAGGCCTTCCGGGAGAAGGACACAGCCGTGCAGGGCAACATCCGACTCAGCTTCGAGGACTTCGTCACCATGACAGCTTCTCGGATGCTCTGAGCCAGCCCCTCTGGAGAGAACGGAGTGTACCAGGGACCTTTCCTGGCTCCTGAGAGTGGGAGAGGCGTGTGGGCCTCTCCTCTTTTCCTGCCCCTCCTAGAAAAAGATTCTCCCTTGCCTGATACAGCGCTGTTTCCGAAGAAGGCCGGGAGTCTCCCCGTCACCAAATCGTGGGGACCTGGGCTGAGGCCACACAGGTAGTGGCCTGACCTGAGAGAGGCCTGGAAGCTGAATGTCCTTAGAGCCCTGAGCATTTGAATGGCCCAGCCTTGCGCCAGGAGCAGGAGATGCCAGTCACTGCAGTAGAGTGAGTAACGTCAGTCAGCTGGGCTCCAGCCTCTGGCTGTCCCTTCTGCGCCCTGACACCAGCCGTGAGTGTTCATCAGCCTCTTGCCATTAGCACCTGAGCCCCCTCACCCATACTGTCTTGTCCAGTGAACCCAGTTTCTCCAAAGTGGAAGCTAAGCAAGCATGAGAGAGGTTTGTCCGCGGGACCAAGTGGCTTGGGTTCCACCAGCCCCATGCCCCAAATCTGCGCGCGTTGACTTCTCGCTGCCCGGGTGCCGTCCCTGCTCAGGGAGCTCGGACAGGCTGCTCTCTGGGCATCCTTGGCTAGGCTCCCCGTCTGCAGCTTGGACCCCTCCCTTGCCTGCCATCCTCTGCTTGGCTTTAATCCCCAGGGGACAGTTGCCACCTCCCACTGCCAATGCTCTTTTTTTATTTGTGTGTGTGTTTTTTTCTTACGGGGCCAAAAGTTCAGTGAAACTGTAAGCTTCAATAAAAGGACAACACTCTGAGTCCCCTGTGTCCCATCCCACCTTCCTAGCTGCTGGTTCATCTGCGCGATTCACGCATGCGCGTCCTTTCAGCCACTCATCCCTTCTTCGCTCAACGAACAGTTAAGTGCGCTCTGTGCACTACGCTGTGCAGGAAGAAGCAAGTTAGGGGGACGTGGCCCGCATGGGGCTGGTCCCATTTATCAGGGTGGAGCTGACGTGTAGGAGCTGGCCAGGTTCGTGTGTTTTATGACCGTTTTAGGACTGGCGCTCTGGGCTACAGGCACCACCCCAGACTTCATAGCATGGCCTTTTTATTATCTCAAGCCCTAGTTTTATCTTCCAAACTACGTTTATTAAGTCATAACTTTCCCCCCATTTTTATTAAGCACAGACATCTGTCCTTGCTAGCTGGATCTTGAGATCAGCGTGATAACCAGTCTACACCAAATGTCTACAGCCAAGACACCAGACATTCTGGTTTGGGGGGGGGGCGCTTATCATGGGCAATCGTGTGATAATCCTTTTGCTCTTGGGGATGAAGATAAGAAAGCTCTGGTCCCTGCAGGGGGTGGTTGGAAGCAGCTCAGTGAGGCCCTGCAGGTATGTCGGGCTCAGCCAGTTCAGCCCTTTTGTCCTCTGGGCTGCTGTCATGCTAGAATGCTAGCGCCAGTCCCGAGGCCAACCTCCACCCAGGGCTAGTATCCTCTCTCTTGTTGAATCCTGCCTCTGCCCGCCAGCCTCCAGTGACAGCTCAGTGCCCTTCCAGGAAGCAGGCTTCCTCTTTGACTAGCAGACACTTCTTCCTGCTGAGATTCCAAATCCTGCCACCTTGAAAACCACCCATGGACTATGGTTTTCTCTCTTGGGCCACCCAGAAGCTCCATCTATCACCCCTTTCTGCATGCCACGCCTCTAGATACCTGGAACCTGCCACCATGTTTCCCCGAGGCCTCCCTTCCCTGGGCTGGGTAGTCCCGGGTTCTTTCGCAGCTCTTCCCTAAGCATCGCTCACCTTGGCATCCAGGTCCTCTGAATTTTCTCCAGTTCATCTGAACCTCCCAGGGTGGAGGCCTCAGGCCCACTGTTGGACTGGATTCAGCCAGCAGAGTAGAGTAGAATGGAGGCCATTGGGGAAACTTCTGTTGTTGGCTCCTACTGAGCCAAGTGTCTACTGAAACCTGTCTCTAGAATGGTACCAATCACAGTTTCAGCCTTGTGCTCAGGCAAGGGCTCCTTAGCCCCGGACCTGGGTTGGTCCTTGTGGATACGGTTGGTTCTGAGCTTGGGAGCCAGCCCTCACAACATCAGTCTGCACACTGCACCTCCCAGCCTGGCTACATGACACTTCACAAACAGCTTTGGATTGCAAGGCCAGCGGGAGTGAGGAAGGAGCAGGGCAGCCCATCCCACCTGGCGGCAACCGCACATCTGTGGAAATGGCCACAAGCGCTGGGCTGGTGAGTCATCCAGAGAGTGGATGACATACTTAGGCCGTACCTTCCACCTGCTCTGGGAAAAGTGTGATGCCTAAGAGGAGGTGTGCTTACGCATTCCTGGGCTGGGCCCCTGGCAGGACCCTGGTTTTGCCCTGTTTTTTGATAGGGGAGGTCAGAGGGAGCTCGGAGCTCCATTAATCAAGTTAAGCAGAGCCGGTGGTGCGCACGGCCGAGCTGGCCCCTGCCAGATGTCTCCCGCCCCTCAGCGGAGCCGTACTTGAGACTACACTCCATTCCTGCTCTGGCAACGAGGAGCAGGGCCTCTGGCAGCCCTCTAATCATCTTGGTGGCAGACGGAGCACGTCTGTGGCTTTCTCTTCTTATCCTGTGAGTTCATAGAAAATAAATGCAAGCCTGATTTCCAAGAAGGTGAAGATAACAGTAAATCAGTCTGTTAACCCCGCTGTCTGCCCCCGCATCTCCCTTACCTCCCACAGGCCACTGGGCCCGTAAGCAGACAAATGTGTCAAGGATCCAGGTCCTGGGCGTCAGGATTGGCACGGCCTGAGGAGGCGGCACTGCGGGTGCTCTGAATCCTGGCTCGGAGCCCATCTGGGATCCAGTGTGTTGGGGGCGGGGGTGGGGTGGGTGGGAGGTGGTCAGCAGATGACAGCATTCCAGTGCTGCCTGGTCTTCTCCCCTCCCCCAAGCTTCCCCACCTTCTCTCTCACCTAAGCAGCACAGATTTTGTGCAATGACAAGGAAAAGGAACATTCGGTGCCAGGCTTTTAATTACAATTGCTTCAGGCTGCTGGCCTCCATGCCAAACAGCCACACGGAGAGGGTTCTATCACACCAGAAAGCCAACGGGGTCCAGTCTGTGGTGCACCCGGCACCTGGTGAGGCTGGGCTGTGTTCCGACCAGGGAAAGGCTGGACCCAGATTAGTTCACTTGGGCCTCAGAGCAGCTGGGCTTTCGCTGGAGCCGCTGGGCCAGATGGAACTGCCCGCGGGGACCCTTACAGCAGACTCCAGGGAAGGCCTGGAATTGGGTGGGAGAGGGATCTTTGGGAGGAAGGCCAAGCTGCGGAAGGATGATGGGGATGGATGATACCGTGGGGCACAGCCACGCGAGAGGAATGTGATAATCCCGTCCACAACACTTCACAATCTACAAAGAGCTTTCCGCTTTCTCGAGCGTGCTTAATCCTCCCATCAATCCTGCTTAGGAGATCGGGCTCAGAGAAGGGGAGTCACTTGCCCAGAGTTAAACAGGCACAAAACCAGGTCTGGAGCCCCGGCCTCCCACTGCATCCAGCAGTCTCCACGAGGAGGTGGGGCCCTCGCTCAGGGCAGCACAGTGGTGACACTGGTGAGCACCACGTGCTCGGGGACTTTGGAGATGGAGCACCGGCTGTGCAAGGACCAGGACTTGTGGCTGGCAGAGGAGCGGGGGCTGGGGGCCTTCGGAGAGCTGCAGGGACCCAGGCCAGGCAGGCAGCAGGAGAAGGCGGCCTTGAACTGCTCCCGGAATTTGCCTTGGTTGGAGACAGAAGACACAGCCATAAGAAGATGGATGAAGCAGGAAGGGCCTTGGGCCCAGGGACACCCACGCAGCTCCAGCCCAGCTGCCTGTGAGGGGGTGGGAGGGCAGAGTAGAGCTGGGAAGGAGAAAGCCCCAAGGCGACCTTGGCATTGCCAGGGAGAGTGAGGACAGAGGCCCCGGAGCAGTTCCCAAGGAGAGATGCAATTTTCATCTGATTCCTTGACTGCTCTCTGGCTCTGAGCCCGGCTCGAAACGTCGTGTCTGGCTCGGGCCTGGGGCCACCTCTGCCCTCCTTGGCGGGTAGGTGGAGGGGCTCGGACTCACCAGCTATGGCTAGGCTTTCCCCACCTGTGCCCCACAGTGACGGGAAGGACAGCAGCAGCCTGCAGGAGGCACTGTGCTGGACACCTCTGCTTGCCCTCCCCCCTCATCCCCCTCCCCTGCTGGTCCCAGCGCCCTGAGAAGCTGATGTCCTTCATCCTCACTGCGCAGGTGAGACGCACAGAGGTGCAGCGACTTGCCCAAAGTCACCCAGCCAGAAGTCAGGCCCGGTTCTCATTCCAGAGCCCTTCTCTTGAAGGGCAGGACAGAGTAGGGAAGAAGGGACTACCACAGCCAGCTCCATCAGCCAAAGGACACCAAGGAAACCGATTGTGTCTGGAGCAGAAAACGCTCCAGAAATGCGCTTCATTCGCCAGCAAGCCTCTCCAGGGCCCCAGCGGAGGGCCAGGAACACAGTAGGTGTTCAGTAAATGGAGACAAGACAGGGATACCCGCCTCTGCTGCAGCCCTTAGCTCTTCTGTTCTCCGCCCTGAGCTGGAGACTGCTGGCTAGCCTTCGGAGAGTAATTCTTTAGTCTCAATGAGGGTTGTGATATGGACCCCCGGCCCCTCCTTCTTCAGCCTTTTCCCAAAGATTATCATTCCCAGGCTTGAACAGGAATCTGGACCAGTACGTTAGGCCTAGTTCTGGAGCCAGAGGCCTAGTGAGCCACACTTCTGCTGAGCCCAGGTGGGTCCAAGGGTGGAGGTATTATCACCGTGAGCCTGGGAGGTTGCGGGGAGGAGGTGCAGACAGTGGGACAGCGAAGGGGAGAGGCCTGGGGTGGGGCTAGGGGACTGGGATGCCTGGACTTCCAGAGAGGGGAGCAAGAAGGCTGGTATTGGAGGCAGGTGGATCCAGGGACAGCCCCCCACATTCTGGCCACTCTGCCAGTCCGTGTCTAGCTGGGCATGGGGAAACCCTTCCCCGGCCCTGGGTTGCCTCCGCTGGTGACCCTCCCTTATCTGGATGACTTGGCTATGCAGTCATCCTCTCAGCCCCGGGCCCTCTTCCCAGAGGCCAGGCTCCCCTGGAGCCCGTGGTGGCCAGCTGGGGCTGAGTGGAGGTCCCGCTGGGCAGGCACCAGGGGGAGGGGGAGGGGAGCTGGCCTAGCCCCTTCCTTTCCCACCCACTCACTGGTCTGCATGATCTGCACAACTGGATCCTGGGTGCTGGTCAGCTGGTTTTGGCGACTCTGGGGAGGGTGGCCTGTCTCCCACTCAGACCAGGGCTCCTGGGCAGGGCCGAGTCTTCCCCGAATGGGAGTTCACAGAGCCACTCAAGATCCCCAGGCAGGAGCAGGGATGTCCTCTCTGCCCTCCCTTTATTCAGCTGGCTTGGGGGCGGGCCTGCCGCCCCCTCAGTGGCCCTGCCTCCCCAGCCCACTCACCACTGAGGAAGTTGTAGATGATGGGGTTGGCAGCGCTGTTTGCGTACACCAGCCAGTGGGAGAAGGTGAAGCAGGCATAGATGGCTTCTCGGTCGCTGGCTTGGCGGAACATCCCGAACACCCTAGGACCAGGCGGAGGACACTCAGAAACGGGGTAGATGTGTGTGTGTGTGTTCCTGTTTGTGTTGGGCGGGAGTCACTATCCTTATCTAAAAGACAGGAAAGCCAAGGCTCAGAAAGGCAAAGCGAGTTGACCAAGGTCACACAGCTCACAAGTGGCTATCGAGTGCACGAGTTCCCGCTGCCCCTTCTGTCCCACCAGGTGGCCCTTTCCTGGGCCTTTAGGTCTGAGGTCTTGAGCACAGATAGTCTGACCAGGGTGGGTGTCCGGACAGGAACCAGGGTTCATCTGCTCAGTCGCTGGCTATCGGATCCCCTGGAAGCCCCCATCCACTTCCTCATCCATCCTCACAGCAACATGATGTGTCAAGCAAGACATCATCCATTGTTCAGCTAGGGAGGTGCAGAGAAGTGACGTGACATGCCCGAGATCACAGGAAGTGATCCAGGAAGTGGCCAAGCACAAACTCACCCCGAGATTGTCTCATGACAAACAGCCCGCTGCTCTGTCCCGGCGCCCCGTGGTCCCTCACTTGCTGAGCCCCTTGTTCCCTCCACTTCCGGTGCTATTCGTCCAGACACCTGCGGGCCTGCTCCCTGGGTCCCTCCCTTCTTTCAAGTCCCTGCCCAATGCCATTTCCTTGGATGAGCATTTTTTTTTTAACCCTGTATCTAAAAAAAAAAGATTAAAAAATAAACACACAAAACCCCACTAACTCCTGTCACCGTCACTCTCTGTGCTCTTTCCCTATTTTATGTGTCTTCATAGTGGTATCCCTGCCTGCCAGTATGGTGGAGACTTATTTCTCTGTCCCACTAGATGTAGCCTCAATGAAGGTGGAGACTTCGTCCTGTGCGCGTGGTCACTGTGCCCCCAGCCCCCACGAGCTGATGGTTGAGTGAATAGATGGAGAAATTGTCATAATAGCCCCGTAGGCTACAACTGGCATTCTTCATAGTTTACAGGCGAGAAACTGAAGCTGGGAGGCTCAGAGAAGAGAAGTGACCTGCCCCCAAGGCCACACAGTGGGTGAGTCCTAGAGCCCGTCTTTCCCCAAAACAGAGAGAGGCTATCGCCTCTCCCCTCATGCTCTCACCTCTTGAGGATGTTGAGGACACTGATGGGCAGGTAGCAGAGGGCAAAGACCAGCAGCACCACCATCAGCATCTTGGCCGTCTTCCTCCGCGCGCGCATCTGCTTCACCTCAGCCAGGAAGGCCCGGGCCCGGGGCGGGGGCTCTGTGCTCAGGCCCAGCCCCTGGTCGTCCGACTGGTCTGAGGGGCGCTTCCAGTTCCTCACCAGGGCCGACGTGGTGCCAGGGATCTGTCCGGCACACACAGAGAGAGCAGTGGTGGGTGGAGCTCCTCGGGAGGGCCATTCTCCTTTGCTGGGTCCTGCTCCGGGTGGACCCCGGGGCGGGGTGGAGGTGGGCCAAGGGAAGGAACCCTTGCCATAGGAAGGAACCTAATATTCATGATGAAGACCGACACTCTGGACTGGAGGGTGAACAGTGTACTTCCATCTTCCACGAGCTCATTGTGACGCCCCGTGTCACGCCTTCGGGGAAGGTGTTCCTGGCCCTTAGTTACAGATAAAGGAACCGAACCTTACAGAGACAGGAGACTCTTGAACATCCTCTCAAGCTACCCATCCGTCCTCCTCAGGCCATCGCTTCCTGTTGTTGGGGCAGGGGTGCAAGGTGAGCTGTGCCCCCGCCCCCCACCCCGGCCTGTGCCCGACACGGGGGAGGCCTGGGCAAGGAGCGAGCATGTGAGCAGGTGAGTGGCATGGAATGGCCTGGGCCTCAGAGCACAGTCCCTGCCTAGGTCACTGCCTAGAAACCTAGGATGGTTCCAGGCTTCTGGAGAAGCCATAGATATCCCTGAAGCCTGTCACACCACTGGACACCTGAATCACCCCCCAAGAGGGGTGTGGGGCTAGAGTTGAGGAAAATTAGGGTCTAGGGCCAGCTCAGCCACTCATGAGCTATGTGAGCTTGTTCAACTCACTTTCCTTCTCTGAGCCTTGGTCTTCTCGTCTATTAGAGGAGGATAGTGACTCTTGCCATCTTGCCTGGGGGGCTGTCAGGGGCAGATGACAGGTGTTGGTGGCCTGCAGGCTGGCCACGTTCTGGTCTGTATCCTCTCCTTGCCCAGGCACGGGACCCAGAACTTAGTCCCCCTAGTGCCCAGAACCTCTGAGCATTCCCCTCCCCCCCAATTACCCCCCACCCCCCGAACCTGCTGTCGGTGGGTCTATAACAGAGACCAGCGGGCAGCCCCGGAACCAGAAAGGCTCTGCCACTCGTCAGCTGTGGCCAGTTGGCTGCCCTTCCTCAGCATTTGCAAAGGGAGTACTACTGCTTCTTCATTTAGATTGTTGTGAAGACCTTGCGAGCAAAATGCCGAATTTGGCAAAAACACAGAGGTGCTGTTATTGTGGTGCCAACCTGAGCACTGGAATGTCACAGCTCTTCCCCTGGCTGGCTGAGGGATTCGGGAGAAGTTGCTTTGCCTCTCTGGGTCTCGGTTTTCTCAAACATTAAGTTGGGGATAATATATGATGGTTGGGAGGAGGCAAGACTAGCTGGAAGTACATGGTACAATAAATGGCAGCTACTGGTGTCAGAACGATGATTAGATTTTAGATACTGAAACCGGTATTAGTTACTATTCGGTTCCAGGGTAGGCACCAGGGCTTTGGCCTTGACTTCGACATGTCCCTGGGCCTTGCCTCTCTCCGGTGGCAGCCAGGATGGCAGGTTCCGTCTGTCTCCTTAGACCAGTCCCCCTTCCCCCTCCCAGCCCAGACAGTGACACCAGAGTGGGCCTCACCTGGCGGCCCCAGAGCTTGTGGAAGATCTGGAAATAGGCCATGGCCATGAGGCCCAGTGGGGCCAGGTAGGTGATAATGAAGAAGCAGCTGTGGTAGATCTTGGGATAGAGGTCATCTGTAGGGGTCAAGAGATACAAGGGCCAGAGATCCTCCCCTTCTGGGAGCCTCCAGCCTGTTCTGCTTAACAAAGCCACCCTGTCCCATCTAGAGCCGTCGAGCCAAAGCAAGCAGCTGGGCCTCACACAGACCCCATGGCAGAGAGAGCCTGGAGTTGCCCAGCCCAGGGGTGTCCATCCTGGAGGGAGCCCCAGCAGATGTCTAGACTAGAGGAGGCACCCACCCTGGAGGTACCCTGGCTAGATGCCTGTTCTGTGGCATCCAGCGAGGGGTTACCCACCCTGGGAGCGTACCCCACAGAAGCCTGCTCCAAGGGTGTCCTTTTGGGAGATGGCCACCCCGGGAGCGCCCACCCCAGAAGTGCACTGGCAGACATGTGTGCTAGGGGTACGTGTCCCAGAGGTGCCCAGGCCCCCACCATTACCTGGCCAGTGTTCATCACAGATGGAGAAGAGCCGGGTGCGGTTGGCTAGCTCAGGCAGCATGCTACTGCATTCCATGACCGCAGCCTGGGGCACCGTGACGGCCAGCGACACTGCCCAGATTCCCAGGACGGAGCCCCGGGCGCGCCGGGCGGTGCTCTTGAACGACAGCGGGCGGCAGATGGCATACCAGCGGTCCAGGGCGATGAAGCTGAGAGTCAGCACCACCACCGACACAGACACGGCCTGGCCCGTGGGGACACAGCGTCAGGCCTCGTGGGCCCCCCCGAGACACGGGGTGAGCCAAGGGGCTCAGTCCTGAAACGCCAGGCGGCCAGGTGCGGTGAAAATCCTGACTGCACCACTTATGGGCTGTGTAGCTTCGGGCATATCACTCACCTTCTCTGAGCCTCGTCTGCGGAATGGGAATATGTCCTCCACCTGGTGGGATTCTTGTGAGAATCAGTGAAATCACGGGTGGGAAATGTCCAGGTCGAGACCTGGTATGGAGTGGGGGCTTCCCTACTATGAGGAATAACTTACACTTACGGGACCTACTACGTGCCAGGCACTGTTCTCATTATCCTCACAACAACCCCATGGTGCATACTCTTACCCCATGTTACAGATGAGGACACTGAGGCACAGAAACGTTAAACAATTTGCCTGAGGTGCATTTTCTCCCCACCCTGTCTTTATTCCCAGCGTTCCCAGGGTTAATCTGTTGAGTGGAAAATCTTAAAACAATGGAAATCCAAGAGGCAATCTTTCTGCCCAGGGATGCCATCCCTTCCCTGGGCTGTGAGGAAAGAGCCTCCTGCAGGGAGGCAGACATGAGCCTAGGAACAGAGGTGGATGTGGATGCTGCCTTTGGGAGTGAACCCTGCCCTCTGGGGTCCAGGGAGAGGGACGAGGGATGCAGCTGAGGGGCCATTCTGGCCTCTGGCCAGCTCTTTCCACCCCCCACCCCCAGCCCCATCTGGACATCCTGATTCCCACTGTTGGGGGAGGGAAGGCCCTGGCCAGGGTTGGTCTCCTCACACCTGCCCCCTTGGAACCAGGGAGTAGGCTCAGCATGCATTTGTGTCTGTCACCATGGGTTTGTGCTTCTCTCCTCTGCGGTGCGCCCAGGTACCTGGAGGCGACTGTCCGTGTGTCCAAGGGCTGTGTGCGTGTGGGTCTGTGGGTGTGACCAAGAGGGGATCTCTGTATGAGTGTGTGGGGCTGGATCTGTGTCCTCAAGTGTCAGGCCTCACGGCCTGGCCTTGCTAACAGTAGACACGGCAGAGGAACTGAGCCACCGCGTCCTGTCTGAAAGGTAAGTCTGAGGGTCACTGAGGTCTATGCAAGGCCATGGTTTTTTGTCCTTGGGGTGACAGAGGGGTGATGGATGGCACCTGGGTGGAGCTCACCTGTAGATAGGGGATGACCTTGCAGAGGGCATGACCAAAGAGCCAGGACTCGGTGATGTCCACCAGCAGGCTGGCTGGAAGGCAGATGGTTGTCACCAGCACGTCAGCCAGGGACAGGTTGACGATGAAGTAGTTGGTGACCGTCCTCATGTGGTGGTTCCTCCACACGGCCAGGCAGACTGCAGAGCAGGGGGGGAGATGGGAAGAGGAGAAGGAGGTGAAGCCAGGGACAGAGCCATGCCCGACCTCAAAAGTGAGTCTTTTCCCCCACAGCCCCCATCCCCCACACTACCCAGCCAAAGGGAGGTAGGGGAGGGGGGGAAGAGAAGCCAGGCCCAGGACACCTTCCAATCCCCAGGGCAAGTCCGCAGCACCACAGGGATCTAAACACCTACCCAGCGTGTTGCCCACCAGGGCCACCAGGAACACAGCCACGTAGGCAGCGATGAGGACCCACTCATACTGCTTCGGGTACAGATAATCACGCCACAGATAGCTCAGGAACTCGTCTTCGTAGTCGGGAGGCACCTGTGACAGTGACAGTTCCCCGCCGCCAGTGGGGGTCCCAGTCTGGGCCCCTGGGGTGGCCGAGGGCTCCATGAGCTCAGGAGCTGCTGATGCTGCGGGGCATCCTGGGCCCAGCGGGGGAAGGGGAGCCCGGGCCAGGCCTCAGCCCACTTCCTTGCACACAGGTCTCTGGGGTCCCAGCCCCAAACCTCCTGAAGGAAGGAGGGGAGGAAGGAAGACAGAACATTAGGAGTGTGTCAGGCAACTTGCACATAAGCCCCCTCAATTCCCATAGTGCTGTGGGGTACGGTGAACCCGAAGTCGATGGAGAAAGACAGATGTGGCTTGCATCTCAATTCCACGCAAGTTGCTCTTGGATACCTTACGTCTCCCCTTTCAGCCTCGGTTTCCCCATCTCTCCAAAGGAGTAATAACTGTACCTACCTCACAGGGCCGCGGTGAGGCGTAATGAGCTCTAATGCGAGCCAAGTGCTTTACCCAGACCCTGGCAAGGGGACCCGGCTTCAGGGCCGACTCCGGTTACCGTTAGAGAACCCTGTTTTGCAGAAGCTCAGAGAGGTTGAGCCCCTTGCTTAAGGTCACAATGGTACTATGCCAGGTCTGTCTGAATCCCCGAAACACCATAGATTTGCAAGGGGAAGCCATCCCGATTGCAAATGTTCTTTCCTGAGTCAGTTCACGGGCCTGAATTTTTGGTTGAAAAAATGGTCAAGGGAGGCGTTAGAGACCCAGGCCCCGCCCGCCACACCTGGACCCTCCCCGGTAGGACACACAGTGGAGGCAGGGGTGCAGAAAGGAACTGACGACCTCGCTGCGAGAGAGGAGAGCCCCAGGCCCAGCAGCCAGGCCCCTCAGACCTCCGTCCCCACTTGAATCCCCGCGGCCGCGATGTGCCCCAACGGCCGCCAGGGGTCGCTGGGCCGGCGCGCAGGCCGCTTTCTCCATTCATAAATTGGGCCTCGCTCCCCGCCCCTCCTCGCTCGCTCAGACCCCTCCTTCCCGCGGCTGGGCACAGACGACCCCGGACGTGTGTAGGAGGGTTGCCGGTCCCTGGAGACCACTGGGGGCGGGCGAGGGGGCTCCTTCATACCTCCTCCAAGTGCCGACGGACCCAATCCCTCAGCGGGACCTCCCTGCACCTCGGGGGCTGTGGGGGGGCTGCGGGGAAAAGGTGGAGGAACGAGGGCGCTAGGGGTTCTGCGGTAGCCTGCCGGGAGGAGGGCAGAGCCTCCTGGGGACCCTGCCTTCCAGCACCCAGGTTATGCCCGAGACCCTTGGCTCCCGCCGAGGGTCCTTTGGAACCTCCACCCCGGGCCTGGGGGGGGGTCCCCCAAGCCCCGCACCTGTTGGCTCCGGGACCCCGGCGTCCTCGGCTGCTGGTCCCCGGACCTTGCACCGGGGACTCCGCCTCCCTGCCCCGAAGGCCGGGCTCCAGGGGCCCGGGCCGGGGGAGGGGTCCGGGGCAGCCCCCTCCCAAGGCTGCGCTGCCTGGGCTCGCTCGGCTGGGCGTGGGCAGCGGCTCCAATGCGGGCTGTGGCTGGGCGCGGGCTCCGCCGGGCTGCGCGCCGCGGGCGGGGGAGGGGGGGCGAGCGGGAGTGGCCGGCGGGGAGGGGAGCCCCCAGCCGGTCTCCGCTTCGTGTCGCCCAGCCCCAGACCGGGAGGGCGGGGGAGACGCTCATTCCTCCTCTCCTGCCACTTCATGCTTCCATCCCACCTCCATTCATGCGTCCATCCGTTCATTCATTCGTTCGCGTTCACCCGGCATTTATGCGTCCGGTCGCTCGGCGTTCAGAGCGCACCTACTGTGTGCTGGCGGGCCCTGGGCAGCTCCGGAGGGCCACAGCGCAGAGGGGGATCCCAGCTCCACCTCTCCTCGCGGCCTCACCTAGCTGACGAGGATGATGGCACAGGTGGGTCCCGGGGTGAGAGCAGGTGCCTGCACCGCCTCCGGCCAGGTCCCTGCTGCTGCTGGTGCAGCTGGCTCCCAGCGAGGTCAGAGGCCCCCTCGCCTATCTCCCAGCCCCCACCCCACCGTTCTCTCTGCCCCCAATCCTTTGCCTTCATACCTGCTTTCCCCCTCCCAAGATGGATGGTAAGTGGGGGCAGGAAGAGGGGAGCCTGAGGGGCTAATTCAACAAACATTTACTAAGCTGTGTGCCAGGCAATGAGCTAGAATAGTAGGGCTACGGCTGGCATAGCCCCCGCTGCCTGATCTCAATCTTCCCTCCAGTCCAGGGAGGTAGTTGCTATTGACGAGGACACGGGGCTCACATGGTCCAGTAACTTGCCCAAGGCCACACAGCAGACACAGAGCTGGGATTCGGGCCTGTGATCCTCTCCAGGTTTACCCACCTCCTTGCCAGACAGAGGCGCCCGGTCCTCCAGACACGCCCCGGCCGTGGCCAGAGGCAGGAGGCTCACAGCCCAGCAAGTGCACTATGGCACGAAGAGAGCTGGGAAGTGGCCCAGAAGGACAGACTGACTCAGCCAGGGCATCAGGACAGACTTCCTAGAGCAGGAACACGGGGACCTGAAACATGAGAAGGTAGCCTTGCAAGGGGAATTGTGGTAGCCCCAGAGAATTCCAGGTGGAGGACACACAGCGACAGGTCAGTGACCTCCCCCGCCTCTCCAGAACGGGAGGGAGAACCGAAGCTGATCGTAAGGCACAACTCTGTCCCTGGGCAGGATGGGTGATGGGTCACAGAATCCCTGCGGTTCCAGTGCTCCGTCCTGCCCGCCTGGGGTGCTGGCGGAGGTAGGGGAGTGGATGGGGGGACTCGAGAGAGGAGCGCCTGATGTGCGTGCACACGTGTGTGTGCGTGTGTGTGTGCACGAGTGCGTGTGCATGTGTGTGACTGCACTTGCACGTGTGTTTATGTTTTCCTGTATTTAGGAGTAAGGGCTGTGAGGGTGTGTCTAGAGAATCCAATGTGTGACTGTGTGTGTGTGTGTGTGTGTGTGTGTGTGGAGGGCTGTCTGTCTCTCTGTGTGTCTGCGGTTTGGGCTTTGACTAGTGTCGGCTCCCCTGGCGTGTACCCCTGTGCGCGTGGGAATGTGCGTGTGGGCACGCCTTTGTGTCGCCGGCTCTGCGACTGTGCGTATGTGGGACTGGGTACGTCTGCCCCCACAGCGATGGCTCATCTAATCGCCCACACTCGCCCCCCCAGCTAGAGCTGTGACTGTCTGCCATGTCAGGGCTGGGGAGGGGGCTGCAGCACAGAGTGGGATGGCGGGCAGACCGTGGGGGACACTCAAGTGACAGCGGTGTGAATGAGGTGCGGCTGCTAAAGCGACAGGTACAGCCCCACGTGTGTCTGCGTGGACAGTGGGCGTCAGCGGAGCCCAGCCCAGAGTTCGGGGTGCCATAATCCAGGGCCTCCCAGCCACCCTGGGTTGCAGTGAGCAAGGGGCTCCCCAGGCCCCCAAACTATTATACGTGGGGTGCACGAGTCATGGCTGGGAATGCAGTTTCACGGAGCCAGTCCCGTCTCCCCTTAAGAGGGATCCCAGGGACCAACTCTCCCTTCGTCCTTAGGTGCCCCAAAAATGGCTACTCTCCAGGATGAAGGTCCGGAGTGGTTCCTTCTACCCTGAGGCAACAGATACTTCTTCCTATCAGATCCTCACCAGGGAGGAGGCTCTGGGCCCTCAGGTCCCTCTGGTCCTAAGTCTGGCTCCCTCATTCATGGCCTGAGGGTAGGAGAGGCCAATTGTTTGGTCTGCGTAGATGCTCGGAGAAAACCCCGGGATCCCAAGAGGGGCTGGTGATGCTCTGGAAGACCCACAAGGGTGCGGTGGTTGGGTCCCTGAGCCCAATAGCACCAGTCTCTGAGAGCTCCTGGCAAAGCACCAGTGCCCACGAGAGGAGTCCAGGGACCTCCTGTCATCCATCTCCAGGCTGGGCACTCGGCCCTGGCACCTTCTCGGCCCAGGGAGGCCCGGCCTGAAGCCTTTGCTTTGCCTGAGCTGTCTGTCAACTGGTGACACATGACCTCTTTCCTGGAACCAGCCAGCCCCGGCCTTGTTGATCTAATCCTGAACCTCCGAGCCCCAGGTCCCTGTCACATCCATCTTTAAGTGCGATCCCCTGGCACTGGCCCCAGGTGCTGCCCCCCCATCCCTCCCAATTCCAGTGTGACTTACAGTAACCTCTGTCAGGCTAGGACTAGAATAATCAAAATATAATTGGGTTTTCAACTTGCTAAAGCTGCCACAGGCCTGGGTTGTGCATGGGAACACTCTGAGCAGGGCAGAGGTGCCTTTTAGAAGAACAGAAATCAGAAAACAAGCAGAGGTGTGCAGAGAGGTGAGGGGCAGGCCAGCAGGGGCTGGGTTGTGGGCCTGGAATGGGGAACTCTGAGGGCCTAGTCTGGCAGGCCACTGAGGAGGCTACGGTGTTTTGTCCTCAGGCCCAACAACACTGGCCTCTGGGAGCTCCTAGCAAAGTGTCACACCCACGGGAGGAACCCAGGCCACATGTCCTCTGTTTCCAGGCCACGTGCTCAGTCTTTGTGCCTCTTCTCCTCAGGAAGGGCTGGTCTTCCTTCAGGGTATAGGTGGCTTGAAGAGGATGGACGTCCGCTGAGAGAGCGGGGGGCGGGGGGCGGGCAGCGCCCAGAGCCAGGCATCCTTGGGGGCTTCACAAGCTACTGAGCATCTTCAAGCTGGAGCAGGGGCCAGAGGGCAGGGGCTGGAGACAGCAGTCTCTGCTCACTCACTCATATATTCACTCAACAAACACCGACGGCGCGTAAGCTGTAAAGAGGGGGGCCCTGCTGCTTAGTCTGGGGAGACCCCCAGGTGAACAGACGGGTGGGGGTGGGTATCATATGCATTAGAGTGGGAGCTCGTGGCGTTGGGGGTGGGGGACGGGATAGGACCGGGGTCAACAGTGATAGTGCATGTGAGCCCAGAGATAACTGCCCCCCTCCCAGTCTGTTGAGCCTTGTGTTGAAATGTGATTAGAAGCACAGGCTTTGGGGCCAGAAAGACCTGGGTCAGACTCCCAGCCCTGCTGCGCGCTGCTGTGTGATCCGGGACTAGGCACTTCACTTCTGTGATAGGCTGGGTAGTGGCCCCCAAGGAGGTCCGCATTCTAATCCCGGGAACCGGTGACATGCCACCTGGTGAAAGGGACTTTGCAGACGGGGCTAAATTCGGGCTCTTGCGATGGGGAAGTTACCTGCGTTATCCAGGTGGGCCCGATATAATCACAAGGGGCCTTGTAATAAGGAGACAGGAGGGGCAGAAAGAGCAGGTGTGATGGCAGAGCAGAGGTGGGAATGATGCCAGGAAGGTGGCGGGCTCTGGAAGCCAGCAAAGAACAGACTCTCCCCTGGAGCCGCCTGGAGGAATTCACCCCACCGATTCCTTGATGTTAGCCCCCACTGGACTCATTTTGGATTTCTTTTTTTTTTTTTTTTAAGATTTTATTTATTTATTTGAGAGAGAGAATGAGATAGAGAGAGCATGAGAGGGGGGACGGTCAGAGGGAGAAGCAGACCCCCAGCTGAGCAGGGAGCCCGATGCGGGACTCGATCCAGGGACTCCAGGATCATGACCTGAGCCGAAGGCAGTCGCTTAACCGACTGAGCCACCCAGGCGCCCTCATTTTGGATTTCTAACCTCCAGAAATGTGGCAAGAAAAAAACTTGTGTAGTTTTCAGGCCCTAAGTTCGCAGTAATCTGTACAGCATCCACAAGAAACTAACACAACCTCTCTGAGCCTCATTTCACTGGTTTTAAGACGCGACCACAGGATCCTTTGGACTGCAGAGTTGTGTCAGGATCACTGCGGGCAGGTGCAGCAGGCACCAGCAAGACGGAGACTCACATTCATACATACCCATACTTTAATTTAATATTTCAAAAAATCAGAGTGGTCATCATGGGAAAAATCAGAGCTTTGTCAGTCGGACGTCCTTATGCTTATTTTGTCATTTGGGATTGTTTTTATTTTGAGTCACATATTGGTGCAGGAGGCTGCTAATGAACTTAAATCCTAAAATTATAAATAATATTAGCTATAAACAATGATCACGGTAAATGTGTGCTGGTGTGATTATTTTGATAGAGGAACACACAAGGGGAAGGAAAAGAAGGAGAAACCTGATCTTTCTAGGAGGGTGTGTGTGTGTGTGTGTGTGTGTGTGTGTGTAGACTGGATAGTTTTGTTTTAACTACGATCTGAGTCACCAGACATTTGAGGAAAGTCTTTAACAGGACAGAGAAAGAGCAAGATAAACAGAAAAACGTTCCAGAGGCAACTTGGGCTGGGCCTATGAGGATGAATAGGAATTCACAGATGGGCTTTGAGTGGGACATGTTGGGCAGGAGTGGGAGAGAAAGAAGGGTTGGGATTCCAGGGAGAGGGGATAACATGAGCAAAGGTGAGGGGTAGACATGGCCGAAGGTCTGTTCAGAAATAGAAAGGTGTGTGACAGGCTGGCCTGAATCTAGGCTGAGGAGCTTGGACTCCATCCCAAAGGCAGTGGGGTCCCTGAAGGGTTTAAACAAGGTTGTGATATGGACTGATTGGCACCCCCGCCCTCCAACTTAAACACGCTGTAAATGAATAAAAAGTATATTTTTCTTGTAATAGATTCAAACCACTCAGAATAAAATAGAGTAAAATCATTATTTTAAATTATGTAGAGTAGCTATTGATTTCGGTATTCGAATATAGCCGCTGTGACAAAGACTCCCAAATGGCAATGCCTTAGGAAGATGGAAGTTTTGTTTTCTCTGCAGGCCATCTAGGCCTGGCCAGGTGGCTCTGCAATCATCGGGAAGCCAGAATTCTGCCCGGGTAGGAGAGTATCATGGTCATGAGCACAGGTCCTAGTGCCACACTGCCCAGGTTTAAATTATGGGTCTGCCACTTATGAGCAGCTGTGTGACCCTGGGCATGCTACTTAATTTCTTCGTGCTTGAGTTTCACCATCTGTAAAATGGGGCATAATACAGCACCCGAGGGAAGGAGCATAATGTTCCCTCAAAGATGTGCGTTCCCTAATCCCTAGGAATTGTGAATGTTATCTCATATGGCAAAGAAGACTTTGCAGAAGTGATTCAGTGAAGATTCTTGAGAGGGGGATATTATCCTGGACTGCTCCAGTGGGCCCAATGTAATCACAAGGGTCCTTAGAAGAAGGAGGCAGGAGGGGCGCCTGTGTGGCTCAGTCGATTAAGCAATTAAGCGTCTGATTCCTGGTTTCAGCTCAGGTCATGATCTCAGGGTCGTGAGATTGAGCCTGGCATTGGGCTCCTTGCTCAGTGCAGAGTCTGCTTGAGATTTTCTGTCTCTCCCTCTCCATCTGCCCCTCCCCCTGCTCACGTGTTCTCTAAATTAAATAAATAAATAAATAAATAAATAAAATCTCTAAAAAAAAAAAGAGGCAGGAACTCAAAATAGTAATCAGAGATGTGATGATGGAAGCGAGAGACTGTAGTGACATGGGAAAGGGACCATGAGCCAAGGAATGCAGGTGCCGCTGGAAGCTGAAAATACAAGGAAATAAATTCTCTCCTGAGTCTCCAGAAAGAAACAGTCTAGCCGACACATTGATTTTAAACTTCTGAGCTCCAGAACTGTAAGAGAATACATTTGTGTCCTTCTGAGACGCTGGGTTTCTGGTATTTTGTTATAGCTGTCATGGGAAATGAATACACATCGTTGTTAGGTTAAAGGAGCTCATATATGCCAAGCACTTAGAGAACTGCCCGACACAGAGTTAACATATATATGTAAGTGTTAGCTATTATTGTTTATGGTAAAACTCTTGGCCTGGGTCAGAGATGGCCAAGCACGCCCGTATTCCAGCTCATGGAGAGGCATGCCCGTTCTGTTTGCATCCAGTTGGCCTGAATGGGGTCACCTGATGCCATGTGGCTGCGAGGGAGCCTGGGGAATAGACTGTTCCTCCGGGTAGCCACGTGCCCAGTGAAATGCAAGGATTCTAGGAATAAGGGAAGGAGGGCGGGTGGGTACTGAGCTAACAATGTCTGGCACCATGCCCAACTATGAAAGATGAGAAGTTTGGCAAAGGTACCATGCCTCCGGAGTTTGGTTAGATACCCATTTTCAGCTCTTCTTTCTTGTGCCATCTAATTTTGACTCCTGCTGTGCAAGATGAGACATCCTTTATCACACTTGCCCTCCCTCCTCCTAAATCTTCTTGCTAAACCACTAGTTCTGTATCCAGAGTGAAAGTGTTCTGGTTTTGTGTGTTGTCCGTCTCTGAATTTCAAAAATTGAAAATCAATAGTGTTTTTTAAAAATATTATGATTATGTAAACATTAGTCTCTGAAGAGCTAACGAGCATCCAGGGACCCATAGAGAAGGAACTATGGGGCGCCTGGGTGGCCCAGTCATTAAGCATCTGATTTCGGCTCAGGTCATGATCCCAGGGTCCTGGGATCGAGCCCCGCATCGGGCTCCCTGCTCCGCGGGAAGCCTGCTTCTCCCTCTCTCTCTCCCCCTGCTTGTGTTCCCTCTCTCGCTGTGTCTCTCTCTGTCAAATAAATAAATAAAATCTTAAAAAAAAAAAAGAGAGAGAGAGAAGGAACTATAGTCTTATGATTTAAATGCTGCCTGAAGGGGAAGTGCTCCAGGCTTCAAGTTCAAATGTATTTTCCCACGCTCCCTCAATATTCGAAGTCATGTTATATTTTAATTCCCTTCATATTTGGACCATGACTTTCTTATACGAGTTTTTGTTCTCCTGGAGTTTCGAATTGCTTTTCTCTTTTCTTCTTGAGAAAAGAAACATATGCCTTTTTAATCGGTCATTAAAATCTCCCAGCTTCTTAATTACATTATTTGTTGAATGAAGCCCATTTTCTTCTTGAAGACACTTTTCTCCAAACCCTCTGACTTCCTGTTCTAATTTTGACTGATGGCTTTATGGACCTCTGGTATTTCTACTCATTACACTTGTGGGTCAGTTCTACTGCTGGGTGAATCTGGTCTCTCTTTCTTGGGGTTTGTCTCTGTTTTCCTGGAGTATATCTTCAAATAACATTTTTAAAGGGGGTGCATGGAAGGAAAGCCTTCCGAATCTTTGCATGTCTGAAAATGTTTTTAATTTGTCCTTACTCTTCCTGAGTGGGAAGATCAATCCGCAGGCTTCATTTTAGGGCATGCGGAAAGGGGGCAGACAGGCAAGAGGGCACCCAGGTTCCCACCCTGGGCCAACATAAGGAGAGATTTACTTTAGACACCAACGCTCTGAGTAGGAATTCTGGTCCTTTTGAAAAAGATCACTCAATTTCTTTAGAAAGTGGTTCTCTCTTACTTTTTTTTTAATTAGAGAAGGGAAGGGGCAGAGGGAAAGGGAGAGAGAGAATCCCAAGCAGGCTCCACGCCCAGCACAGAGCATGACCTCGGCCTCAATCTCACAACCTTGAGATCATGACCTTGAGATCGTGACCTGAGCCGAAATCATGAGTCAGATGTTTAACCGACTAAGCCACCCAGGTGCCCCCTCTCACTTTTTAATCTCTCCCTTCTCTGTATGTTCCTAATGTGTAGTGGATTTTTTTTTGCAGGGGATTGTTAGTGGCCAGTGCTGGCTTGTTATTCATTAAACAGGCCTTTCCTTGAATTATTTCCTAACTTTGGTTAGTCTCATACCACCATCCCAATTTTTGCCATATCTTCTTACTACCTGTGTTAATATTTACTTTTTTTTTTTTTTTTGTATTTTTAATGACTGAAACAAAATAGATCTAAAACCGCAGCTTCTGGAAGAATCATTTGTTCTCACCAGTTGGTACCTCTCTTCGAACTTGACCTTGGCCTCTTGTCAGGTCTTGCCTTTAAGAGCAGGGTCTCTGAAGACATCCTTATTGATGACAGTTTTGTCCAAGGGGATGTCCACAGAGTACCTTGTGGGCATGAAGTGACTGTGGTTATAAACTTCCACAAAAGATTTGATCTTTGACCTCCTGATGGTTTTCTTCTTGCCCATGGCAGCTGTCACTTTGTGGGGACAGCGGTCAATTCCAGCCACCAGAGCATGGCTGTAGGGATGGTCTGAGGTGTTATCATCCATGTTCTTTACGATGACCGGGAGTAGGGTCTGGCCAGGACCAGCACCACCTTCCCGGGTTTCATGAACTTGCCCACCTCAAGCCTACAGTAGAAAGAATATTTACTTATGGTATTATTTTTATTTAAATTGACTATGCTAGTCCTACACCATCGCTAGCAAACTGCAAATTTGATGTTATAGTTGTAGCTCTTGTTGTTTGTACTTATACAGTTATATTTTCTAATCTATATACATCATTCTTAAGATAACAGAGGCTTATTTATTTGCCACCAAATAGCATCCACAGCGATGGTGCTTGCGCCATACTTTGCAAAATATTTCTCTAGTTAATTACTGTGTTGATTACTGGCCAATCAATTGCCTGAGCTTTCTGCCACTTTGGGCTTCCAAGGAGGTCTCCTTTCAATAGTCCCTCTCCTCCTTGGCCTGATTCTGATATGCTGGGAATAAAGTAAAACAGTAATTATTATTGATGATGTAAAGTGAAGACTGCAAAGGCCTTGGCTTAGGGTGGGAGCTGCGGGACCTTCTAATTGAACCTCCTTCACCGCCTGCAGGAGCAGATGGTCGGGCCCTCCTCTCACAGGGAGCGGCTCACAGTCTCAGTCCTGCCTCTCCCATCCACTCGGGGTGGCACGTGGCTATAACAATCAAGTACCTTGGGGCGTCTGGGTGGCTCAGATGGTTAAGCATCTGCCTTCAGCTTGGGTCATGATCCCAGGGTCCTGAAATCGAGCCCCACGTCCGGCTCTTTGCTCAGCAGGGAGCCTGCTTCTCCCTCTCCCTCTGCTTCTCCCCCTGCTCATGCTCTCTCTCTCTGTATCTCTGTCTCGAATGAATAAATAAAATCTTTAAAAAAAAAAAAACAATCAAGTACCTTGGGCTCAGGTACGTATTCAGAGAGCAAGCAGTCCATATCTTATCCAAATTGCTCCAAAAAGTAGAAAAAGAGGGACAACTACCCATTGCATTTTCTGTGGCTAGTAGAACCTTAATATTCAATTTAGACAAGGAAGTTTGAGACAAGATCTTAGGTCAGGGACACCTGGGTGGCTCAGTCGGTTAAGTGTCTGTCTTCAGTCCAGGTCATGATTCCAGGGTCCTGGGATCGAGTCCTGCATTGGGCTCCCTGATCAGTGGGGAGTCTGTTTCTCCCTCTCCCTCTGTCTGCTGTTCCCCCTGCTTGTGCTCGTGCTCTCTCTCTCTCTCTGTCAAATAAATAAATAAAATCTTAAAAAAAAAAAGATCTTAGGTCAATCTCAATTATGAACATAGATTCAAACATCCTAAATAGAAAGCTACCAAACTAAATACAGCAACATATTTAAAAATGCATAATGACCAAGTTGGATTTATTCCATAAATGCAAGAATATTTCAACATTAGAAAATTATTATTTTAAGTCTCGGCGCCTGGGTGGCTCAGTCAGTTAAGTGTCAGACTCTTGGTTTCTGCTCAGGTCATGATCTCAGGGTGATGAGGTCAAGCCCAGCGTGGGGCACTCAGTGTGGAGTCTGCTTGAGATTCTTTCCCCTTCCCCCTCTCCCTCTTGCTCTGTTCCTCCCCACTCACCCGTGCTCTCTCGATCTCAAATAAATAAATAAATAAAATCTTTTTTAAAAAAAGGAAATTATTATTATTTTTAAATATTTGTTTATTTTAGAGAAAGAGAAAGCAAGCGGGGGGGAGGGGCAGAGGAAGAGGGAGACAGAGAATCTTAAGCAGACTCTGTGCTGAACACAGAGCCTGACATGAGGCTCAATGCAGGGCTGATCCCCCGACCCTGAGATCATGACCCCAGCAGAAACCAACAGCTGGACGTTTAACGGACTGAGCCACCCAGGTGCCCTTATTATTATTATTTTTTTTTTTTAAGATTTTATTTATTTATTTGACAGAGAGAGACACAGCGAGAGAGGGAACACCAGCAGGGGGAGGGGGAGAAGGAGAAGCAGGCTCCCCGCCGAGCAGGGAGCCCAATGTGGGACTCGATCCCAGGGCCCTGGGATCATGACCTGAGCCGAAGGCAGTCGCTTAACCGACTGAGCCACCCAGGCACCCCTTATTATTATTTTTTAAAGATGTTATTTATTTATTTGAGAGAAAGAGAGCATGAGAGAGGGGAGGGTCAGAGGGAGAAGCAGACTCCCTGCTGAGCAGGGAGCCTGATGTGGGACTCAATCCTGGGACTCCAGGATCATGACCTGAGCTGAAGGCAGTCGCTTAACCAACTGAGCCACCCAGGCGCCCTTATTATTTTAAGTCTCAACATTAACGGATTAAAAGACACAAAAATCCTATGATCACATAAAACAGATGGAGAAAGTGCATTTGATAAAATAAAGCAGTTTATAAAAATTCTTGGCAAACTAGGACTAGGAGGGAACTTCCTTAATGTGATACTTTGGTAAAGGGTATTTTTCTAGAACCTGCAGTAAAAGTACCACTTAATGATAAAAACTTAAAAGAATTTACTTTAAAATGAGAAACCTAAAAAGGATATTCACTATCTCTATTTCTGTTCAAAGCTACCCTGGATTCCTTAGCCTGTGCAATAAGGGAAACAAAAGGAAATAAATGGTACAAACTTTTGAAAAGGAAGAAACAAAATGGTCATCATGTATTTGTAGATCATGTGATTGTCTACCTAGAAAATCAAAGAGATTCTACAAGCAAGCTGTTAAAATTATTGAGAGGATTCATGTTGAGAGACAATATTCCATGGGTCAGTTGCATTTCTGGATGCTTTGCAAACAGAGACTCTAACTGACCTTTTGTTTGGGACTATCTTTTTTTTTGGCGGGGGCGGGAGGATGGAGACAATCTCTTCAAGGATGTTTATATCAACCATCTTCAGAACATAGAGTAATTATCTCCCTCCGGAGCAGAAGGCAGATTTGCTTATTGTCCAGTGTATTGAAGATAATGTCTTCCTCTGCAGCAAAGAGCTCAGTGTTCTTCAGTGAATATGCAAACCTGTTGAGTCCATGTGCAGCACCCCTGTGGGACTTGGGGAGCCAGAGGAGTTGCTGGCCCAAACATGAGGCACATGCTTCTTGCTGAGCCATGAGCAATGATGTCCTTTGTCTCTGACCCAGAAGTCTCATGTCTTCTGCGGCATCCCTGATACTGTGGTAGCTAAGAGTCTGACTGGGGTAAAATCCCAGACCCTTTACATTCTGGATGGTTCAGCCATCTCACTTTTAAATATCAATGACAGACAACATGTGCTATTTATAAAAGGCACAAAAGCCCTTAAGTGCCCAAGAATAAATCTAAGAGATGTGCAAGATGTTTATAGAGAAAATTAGAAGGCTTGATTGATGGTCATTCAAGAGACACAGAGAAATAGAGAGGTATAACCTGCTTGTAGAAGGAGGGACTTGACTGTAAAGACATGAATTCTCCCCAAATTAATCTATAAATTTATTTCAATGTCAAAGGGTTAAATAAAGGGGCGCCTGGGTGGCTCAGTCATTGAGTGTCTGCCTTTGGCTCAGGTCATGATCCCAGGGTCCTGGGATTGAGCCCTGCATCGGGCTCCCTGCTCGGCAGGAAGCCTGCTTCTCCCTCTCCCACTCCCCCTGCTTGTGTTCCTTCTCTCGCTGAGTCTCTCTCTGTCAAATAAATAAAATCTTTAAAAAAAAAAGGTTAAATAAAGTGTTTTTTAAATTAATATTTTTGGAAACATTATCCTAAAGTCATATGAAGGAACAGCCAAGGGTAGCCAAGCAACCTTGAAGAAAATGAACACAGTGAGGAGAATCACCCTTCAGATGTCAGGACTTATCCAACTAAAGTAATTGAGACGGGGAGATATTGGCAGAGGGATGTACAAATAAATAAATGGGACAGAATGGAGGGCTCAGAGACAGAGGTATGCAGACTGGAGGTTCAACGTAAGTCAGAAGGGGCATTTAAAACAGTTCCTTTTTTTTAATCTTTATTTTTTATAAGTAGGCTCCACATCCAGCATGGAGCCCAACACAGGGCTCAAACTCATGGCCCTGAGATCAAGATCTGAGCTGACATCAAGAGTTAGATGCTTAACCAACTGAGTCACCCAGGCGCCCCTAAACCAGTTCCTTTTATGGGGCATCTGGCTGGCTCAGTCGGTAGAGCATACAACTCTTGATCTGAGGGTCATGAGTTCAAGTCCCATGTTGGGTGTAGAGATTACTTAAAAAAAAAAACAAACTTAAACCAGTTCCTTCCAATAAATGGTGGTGCGAAAATTGGTTTTCCATGTGGAAAAAAGAGAATTGCACTCCTATATCTCTCTGATCACCAAAGTCAGTGCAGAGGGATACTACATATGAAAAAGAAAACTTTGAAATAAAAATCTTTTCTAGACCTCATGACTGAAGAATTCTTAACCAAGTTTAAGAAGCATAAACAATAAAGAAAATACTGATAGATTTGACAACATTAAAATTCCAAAGTATTGTATAGCCAAAATATACCAACGAAACAAACAAAACCCAGACCACAAGGCTGGGAGAAGATACACATATAATGAACACAATAGACAAAGCAGTGGTATCCAGGCTTCATCACGAAGTTCTACAGATCAGTAAAAAGATTACAAACAACTCAACGGAAAAACATGTATAAGATATAAATAAGTAAACAATACAAATATATGTGAAATGATGTTTAACCTTACTTGTAATTATTGGAATGCCAATTAAAACAACAACGAGATAGACTTTCAGACCTCAAGTTGGTAACACAAACAACATTTCCAGTCCGACTATATTAAGTGTTGAGGAATATGTGAAACAATGGGCCTCTTGTAAATGCTAAAGAGAGTTTTAATTATAACCACTTTGAAAAACAATCTGACAAAATCGAGTAAAGTCCAGCATGTGCGTACTCTCCAACCTAGCAATTCAATTCTGGACATAAATCCCAGCTCTTGACAAGTACAAGAATGTTCATTACAACACTATGTAGAGTGGAAAATTGGAAACAACAGAATAATGTACAAGCCAATCTTGTTAGAGCTACAAAGTAGACAGTTAAGATGAACGAACTGGAGAGATATATATTGATTGATAGGCTGCCCCTAACATTT